AAAAGCCTTGGCCTGAAAGCAGCTCTAGGAAGTCTGAGACCATTAAACTAGATTCCCAACATCTGACGCCAGAGGGTTTACATGAGTTCTGCATGCCACAACGTTCTTCCCCGACTCATTACAAACCCTTATTAAGACAGACCAGTTTTAGAAAGCTTTTCCTTCTACCGCATTAAGGTTTCTTTCTGATTTCCTCTGTGCCGCCACACAGACGTAGTTTCAAATGAGTGGAAAAAAGCACATGCGAGGCAGTCAGTCCAGAAGGAAAGCTTCCCTCCCTTTTGAAAAAAAAAAACAATGCCTTTATGACATTTACAGTTCTGTTTTGGAAGAGCTGCGACGTGTAAGACGTGTTTGGAAATAAAATTCACAGCTGCCAGGCAGCAGCTACAGTTTGCCCTATTAGGAAATAAAATAACCATATTTGCAGTAATTAAGACTGATGAGCCCAAGTAATGACTGCAAGTATCACATCTGCCAGCCTGTAAACTTCTTGACAAACCTGCAGGAATGGGTAGCCTACAGCAAGCCCTTTTCCTACACAGCAATGGTGAGAGCAGAGACTGAGGCAGTCCGCACCATATCATCCAGAAACAGGTCCTGGAGAAGACCAGGATCCTTTCCTCCTCCCAGGTCCCACGCACCAGCACTGCAATTGATTCCTTGCTTGAAGCTGCCTGGATCAGGAAGATTTTAAGACTTCTGCTTACATAATGCTGCAAATTACTGTGTTTTTAAAAGCCCTGGATTGGCAGGATTCCACAGCAGAAAGACAGAGGATCACATTTATAAGGCACTGCAAATGCTGAAAAATATTTCTGGGGCAAGCCCTTTAGCAAAGTATCCTCAAAATGCTCTTTCAGGGCAGGAAGAGAAGGGGCAGAATCCCAGCCCCACAGGTCCCTGCCCGTCCCCTTCACTCCCATCCTTCCAGCTCAGGGTTTTACCTCACCAGGCACACATCCACATTGCACCCACTGCCTTGGGTGCTTTTAAAACCTCTCCCAGAGCAGCAGGACTCGCTTGGCAGCCACAGGCAGGCAGCACCCACAGCAGAAACCAAGCACCCCTCCGCCTGAGCTGAAGTCTTGTGCTCACTGCTGGGAGCTGCTAGCAGCTGCAAGCTGTTTATGGTGAATAACGCTTCATAGCTTCAGATTTGGACTTTTTCTGGCTAGAGGAAAGATCAAACACAGATTGTTATAAGCTAATGAGACGCTGCTTCCACTGGTTTAAAGCGGGTTTACGGAATTAAGCATGGGGATGTAATCCCAGCGAGCACCCCCAGCCGAGGGTTTAACCTGCCTGTACATGGCATACGTGACGACCCAGCGTTTGCAAGGGCTCTGCACCAAAACAATACTCAATTGAGGTCCTGCTCAGCTGAAGCGTTTGTTCCCAGGGTGAAGCGAGGTCAGCAGCATGTAAAGAGTTTGCCCAAGGACAGCAGCCCACACAGATGAGCTCAAGGTTCTCCTGCCAGCAGCTGCACGGCCTGCTCAGCACCCCTCCTCTACCAGAAAGCGGCCGGCATATCCCTAGACATGCTCCAGTCTGCCAGCCTGGTGAGCCAGCCTGGAGAGCAGACAGCTAGACGCCAAAAGGCAAGACTTTTGCACTCGTAAAGGAAGGAGCAAGTGGCAGCTGCCTTCATCTTCAGCTCAGAGCCCGATCCCGCAGCGCTGCAAGCCCCAGCCTGCAGCCGCGGAGCAGAGGTGCACGGCAGCCCACTCACCAGCACCCGGCGGGCAGGCACTCACCTGGGCAGGGCTGCCGAGCGCTGGAGGCTCTCCTTGAACATCAGCCACTACAAACACCGTCTGCTGAGGACAGAGCACGCCAGGGATTTGAAGATAATCCCCTGCGCAGCAGTCACCACGCCTGGCTCGCAGGCTACAAAAAGGCCGCGCCACCGGTCTCAGAAAGCGAGCTGGCTGAGGGAGAGGGACATTGAGACCCTTTGTCAGTGGCACAAGGGGGATGGGGGAACAAACAAGACCGGCAGCAGATCTCCCTCCAGAATGGGTCCATTACAAGCACCGTTCCAGGCTGCTGTCTTCAGCTGTTACCACCGGTGATGCTCAGCCTGCCTGAGCAAGGACCCAGGCTATGGGAGGATGGGATTTCTCATACCAAGCACTGCTATGAGAAAGCGCGAAGCAAGCTTAAGCAAGCTATCAAAAAGATCAAGGGAAAAACCTTGGCTGTTTTCTTACATTGCTGCCTGGCAATTGCCATGACTCAAGCAAAGCTCTCCCAGAACCCTCTGACCCACAACCACAGGCAAACCTTACACACACAGGTTACAGGCACAGCACTGCCCAGATCAGCTGCACGCCCAGCACAGCCCCTGCAAACACAACAGGGAGAGGCCAGCCCGGGCACAGCCAGGCAGGGCTGCCAGGCTCCGCGGCCATGCCTCTCGTGCTCCGTCCCCAGCACAAAGCCACAAGCTCACCTGCAGCAGGAGCTGTGGGGGCTGCAGACACACAGCCCCCCAAACCCAGCACGTCCCAGGTGCAGGCAGTGCGGGCCTGAGTGCCAGGGGCTCCTCCTCAGAGCTGATCTGTGCCTCAACGAGAAATGCTCAGAATGAGAAAAATGTGGTACCAAGCAGCATCGGCATTCCTTCACCAGACATCAATACCACCAAAGACACATCCCCTCCAGATTTTGCTGCAGAGAGTGTTTACGTGAGGCTGCAAAACTCCAGAGTCACACGGTTGCTACAGTCAGAGCACTTCTGCTCCTTTTCCTGAGAGCACCAGCTCGAGTTCTTTGTTCCCAGCCACCTCTGTACCATTGCCTTTAGAACCTCCAAAGTTGGGCTAAAGCAGCTGCATGGATGAAACCACCCAACACCACCTGGGTGACTGTGGTTTCAGGAATCAGCTACAGCCTCACACAGACCTTCTTTGGCTACAGGACAACTGTACAACAACAGCTTTAGAAGGAGCATTTCACAACAAGTTTTACAGACAATAATGGGAAGAGGCTCCTGCCTTCTTAAGAAAAGTTACTGTTATATGCTGACTTCACAGAAGGAAATAAAAGCCATAAAACTGAGATTAGCACTATAGTGCTCCGATACAGCTTGCCTGCATAGCCTACGTGCAACTTTTCAACTCCTCACGAGGGATATATGAAGTAAAACACTGGAAGTCTCCAGCCTATAAAAGCCACCAGGTATTTTCCACATTAGCTGCCAGATTAATCAAGACAAGTGAGAGATTTGAGCGCAGCAGAAATCACGCGAACCATTCGCACCTTTTTATTGGGAACCACCTCCTGGCTTTCCCAAAAGGGGGTGATGCCCTCAGCACTGAAGGGCCAGGGCAGAAAGAACACGGTCAGGGTCGTGGCATGGCGGGGAAGTTTGCAGTGCAGCAGCAAAACAATTGTTTGTAGGCAGAGGATCCACCACACCGGTGGTTAAGTGAGAAAATAAAAGCTGTGGGGCTCTGCCTGCAGCCCCAGCCCCCCAGGCACGCAGCCACTGTTCCCTGCGCTTCTCAGGAGTCAAAAAAAGCCTGAGAGCAAAGCCACCCGGGAGAGGCAGCCTGCACTAAATTACCTCACTTAGCATGAAAATGGGATGCTTGTGCACCACAGAAAGGCTCCAGGCAGACAGAAAAGCAAGAAAACACTACCCCTGGATTTCAGGTGTCTTGTGAGGAAGCTGGAAATGACTTCTTTTATCCGCCCCCCCCGAGAAAATTAAAAGCCCAGGAACATCTTGTGCAGGTGGCCCCAGCTCGTGGGGCAGCAGCAGGAGCGTGGCGGAGGGGACAGCCCTGGGGCTGCCCGCTGGGACCTGCTGCCATGGGGGGGGGACAAAGGGCACAGCTCGGTCCCCTCTGAGCCTCCCCAGGGAGCCGCAGGTCACCCGCTCTCCTTGGGGCCCCCCGTTCGTGACCTCCCTCGGGGTCCGGTCCCCCCCCCGACCCCGGGCCCCTTCCCCGCTGTTATCGGCGGCCCGGAGCGGGGCTGTAATCGCCCCAGCCCCGGCTCCCCCCGCTATCTGCCGCTCGCACGGGGCGGATTTACCCTCCCCGCTACCGGGAGGCCCGAGGGCTGCGGAACCCCCGGACGGCGGCTCCGTGCACCGGCCCCCAGCGGTCACCGATCGCCCCCCGAGCCCCGTTCACCCCTCGGCGGCTCCCGAGGAGCTCCACCGGGGGGGCACCGCCTGCCCACGGCCCTGCACCGGAGCAGGGCGCGAACACGGGCCCGGGAACCGGCACCCAAAGTCCTCTACCGGGGAAGGTCACGGAACGAGGGCCGGGCATCCCCGGCCCGACACCGACCGGCGGCTGCAGGGCCCCGGGTACGCGGACCGGGGGTCGGCCCTAGAGCTACGGGGAGGGGGCGGCGGCACCGTGCGGCCCCCATCCAGCCCCCAGGCCACGAGGGGGGCCCGGGGCCGGCCGGTTCGCACCCCCAGCAGTACGGGGAGGGCATCCACCGACCCGGGGCGGCCCGGAGGAGCTCGGTGCCCGCCGGCGCCGCCGCCGCAGCGCCCTCCACGAGGTCCCTCCACGAGGTTCCGGCTGCGCCCCGCGCCCCCGCCAGGCCGGGAGCGGCAGCCCCGGGATCACGGAGCCGCACCACCCACGCCGGGCCCCCCCATCCCATCCCATCCCTTCCCGTCTCCATCCCATCCCGGTGCGGTGCCCGGTGCCGTCCCCCCGCCACGTGGCCCCGCCGGGCCCTACCTGCGCGTGCCGCCGCCGGCCGAGTGCGGCCCCCCCCGCCCCGCCGTTATACGGGACCGCGGGGGGGCGGGCCCGAACCCAGGCTCTGCCCCCTGCCCCGCCCCCCCCCCCCGCCGCCACGTGCGCTCCGCGGCCCCCGCCCGGGCCCCCCGGCCCCCAGCCCCCGGCCCCGCCGCCGCCGTGTGCCCCGGCACGTACCGGGCCCCCCCCAGCCCCCGCCCTGCTCCGCCCAAACGGGCGGGAAGCGAGGGCCCGGCGCGGAGCGGGCACCGGGACCCCCACCGGGACCGGGACCAGCATCGGGACCATCCCCTTTTGGTCCCCGGGGGGCTTCTCCCCTCCGCCGGGGGTGTCGGTGGGGACGGGCGAGCAGCGAGCCCAGCTGCAGGGAGCCCACCCCGGGCTGGCCCCGGTCCCCGGTGCTGCCCCGGAGCCCGGTGGGGCCCGGTGGGGCCCGGTGGGACCCGGGGCCGTGCTCGGAGCCCTGGGCCAGGAGCTGGGATGCGCTGCTGGGTGCCCCGCTCACCCCTCGCAGAGCCTGGGGTTCTCCCTGTCGGTTCTGCGGGAGATGGGCCCAGGCTCAGCGGCTGATGGTGCATGGAAGGTGCTGGAAGATGCTGGAAGCTGCTGGAAGCTGCTGGAAGCTGCCCGCATGCAGAGCCCCTCGCTGTCGGGTGCACGGCGGTGGCAGCGCCGCATCGAGCCCCGCACCCCCTGTGCGTAACAGGCCCTGCTCCAGGGGCTGTCACCTGCGGGTGCTTCCCTGCAGCCGCCGGCTCCTGCGGCCTAATGAAGTTAATTGTCCTCTGGGTCTAACGCTCTTAATTTGTTTCAGAGCAGACAAGCGCGGTGCAGTTCACCTCGGAGCCCTGAGAGGCAACAAGGCAGTGACACTCAGCAGATGGGAGCTGGAGCAGCCGCAGGGGGGGTGCAATCCCTTCTCATATCAAAGGCAACCACGGTTCCTCCTCACCGCAGCCGGCGTGTGCAGGGGTGTGCGCTGTGTGTCAAGGCACTTAATGGGCCAGGTGCACTCGATAAAAGCGCACCAGGCACTGCAGCAAACTTCCCTCACCCACTTCTGAAGCAAGACGACGCCGTGAACCAAGGAGCGAGTGGGCGGGCGGCTTTCTTGATACATCTCCCGTGCAACTCGGTAAACAGGGATAGGCCCGCGCTCCAGTTTGCTTAGACAACAAGGCGAATAATAATTAAAAAGGGCAATTTGGGAGCAAACTCAACGTGCTGCTTGGCTTTGCCATCCTGTAACGCCTTAACTAGGGGCCGTGGGGCTTCGTGGGACGCTGCTGCTGCATCTTGTAGCCAGCGGGAAGGAGTCCATGCTCTGTGCCTCTGCTCTTCTGTCTCCTTTAAAAGGCAGATTTAATATTAATCCCTTCAGGAATTTTTTCTTGAGAGGAAAACAGGATATTGTTTCAGGATATTGGGCAACAAAGCTGCCCTTGAAAAGCAACTATAAGCAGCCTTGCAGTCCTTACTACTGGCTGCATTTGTTGTTAATCGAGTTGAAAATTGGGTACAGCCAAGCCCTTTTACTTCCAGAATGAGTGAGAGGTCACAGCAGAGTAATTCAAGTTCAGGTTTCTGTATCCCATTGTAAACACTAAGGACTTGTAGTAATCTTAAAATATAATCACTAGCTTTGGTTTCCATTGGAATTAATGTCTCCAACAGGTGTAAAAGGCTATCCCCCTCATCTGCCATGAATACGTGTGTCCTGCTTGATAAGAGAGATAACAAACAGGAGTCCAAATCCAGGAATTATTGGAAATCTCTTGGGAAAGCCTGTTCTTTCGAGATATCCATCCTAGTTTCCTGACTAGGCTTTGGAAAAAGGTTTTCTGAACTTTTGGGTTCGCATTTAACTTTAACTGAGCTTCCAGGCCCTGAGTTCACCCATCCTCACGACCCTGTGACAATGGCTGTGGAAGAGAAGGCGTCGGAGCACCGTCCCTGGGGAGCGCGGGGGGTCTGCCTCCGTCGGATGACAAAGGCATGACATTGTTCAGGGGCGTGTAACAGCTTCCGTCATTGTTTAGACAATAATATGTCTTGGGAAGAAATTGTTTGTTGTTAAAGTGTTTTAAATGGCCACTAATAATCAATAGAAAACCTTTGCAAATGTGGTCTTCTGTACGCTCACAGACAACCTGCGCCAGGGCTCGGTCACCCTCCGAGTGAAGGAGCTTCTCCTCCAGCTCCTGTGGAACTGGGCTGCTCCCAGGCTCACAAACACGTCCTCCCTTGGGAAGCAAACGGAGGATTAACAGGATTGTGTTCTGCAAAGTGCTCCCGAGGCCAGGTGCTAATGACTGCTTCAGAGAGAGCTGCCCCAGCGGGATGGGAGTTGAGGTTTTTCTCACCCTCCCTCAGCATATTAATTGCACCCGTAAGTGTTAACGATGGCAGCAGAATGAATTCCTTACAAAGGTGAGTTGCAGGGGAATGTGGTGAGACAAAGACATTAATTTGGGCTTCAGATGATGTGTGGCAGCAGGCAGGATGGCCTCACGGAGTGTCTCCCAGGGCAGCCCTGCAGCTGAGCCCGACGCCGCGCACCCCTGGGTCCTCGTGGCCAGGAGCAGGGCGCTTGCCCAGAAGCAAGGGGTCCTTGGCCACGTGGAGACCACACAGCAAGCCTTAAGGGATGCCACATGCACACCTTGGTCCTGCCTCGACCCTCACCCTGTGCCTTTTCCTCGTTCCCTGAGGTGGGCACGCTCTGGTTCGTCTCCTCAGGGTGCTGCTAGTGCGGAGCATAGCAGCCCGTTGCCTTTTGCCAAGAAGCTTATCTGGCACAAGAAATGGTATCTCTGTTCCTCCTTCCTTGCTGTCCTTAGCCGGGGGAAGGTGCTGGTGCTCAATGTACTTTCAGTGCTGACTCCTGCTCCGTGGGGACTCGGGAGGTCTCTGCTTGCTCCTCCAGGAACGTGGGGGCTGCCGTCCTTCCCTGCAGATTGCTGCCCCATATGTTCCCGGCACAGCAGCTCGTTCCCTCCAGGCTCCCCGTGCTCGCCTCCCGAGTGCTGGCTGCCTGACAGCACATCTCGGCACTGCCAGGTCTGCCGCTCGCGTGTTCTCCCTGGGGAGAGCACAGGGCAGCCCCCCGCCTGCGGGCTGGCTGGCAGGGGTCAGTGCCTCCACACCTTAGGGGCCGAAGCTTTCCCTGGCGAGGAGCAGCTCAGAGCTGTGCCTCGAGGCAAATCTCACCCTGGCTGTGTCCTGGGGTGGGACGGCACCGGGATGGTGCAGGGCATGAAGACCCCGTCCTCATCCTCAGGGGGCTGCGGGCAGCGGAGCACCCCACCCACTGCCCTCCTCGCACTGGGGTCAGCGCCCTCGGGGACACCCAGACCAGCCCAACCGGCCACGGGATCCCGTTCTGTGACATTTCACCAGCCGCTGGGATGATTTTCCTTGCAGAGCTCTTGGGCAGCCCTAGGGTCGCCGAGGGAGGAGGCAGGGGTGGGCGTACGGTGGGCGTACTTCTCACCGTGTGCAGCCCTCCCGCGGGAGCGCTGCTGTCCCAGAACATGCTGTTTTAATGACTCTATTCCTGTTCTCGGGGTGGGGAGGAAAAGGTGGGGGCTCTGCAAATAATTTAACCATATTCCAGATCAAATAACTTCATGGGTCAATAGCACTGCCTCCCCTGCATTGTACTCTCCCTCGTATCCCCGTCCAGAGAGCCCGTTTCAGCCTTGGGTGGCCCACAGCTGTCGGATGCTGGTGGCATCCATTGCCACGTCCCTGATCTTCGATCTGACTGCAGCTCTGCTCCCTCTCCACGCAAGGCACCACCAGGGTCAGCTTCCACCGCCTGCACATTTAGTGACTGGGCTGCTCCTGGGCAAGTTCGGTTATTCATGCGATGATCTCAGGATAGTCTCAGCAAGAGAAAATCTGGAGCTCCAGGCTGCTCTCCAGCTCCAGTCATGCACTGCAGCAGCTGTTTCCTTGGGATGTTGCACAACACACTATTGCTCTGTGCAGTACTCAGTATTTTTGGTTCTACATCATCCTGGGGGAGCTTAGCACGCTCTCAGAGGTGTGAAACAGCCTCCCTGCAGGCACAGCTTGGCTGACTCAGGACACAGAGAAGTCTCTTGTCCTCTGTGGGTGCACTGGTCCCACCTCACAGCTGCCCAGGGCTGCACTGGGGGCAGGCATTGCTGCTGCCCCAGCTGACCGCCAGTGCCAGCGCGGGGAGCGGGCAGCAGAGCACTGAGCTTCTCCTCCTCCCATGCCCTCGCTTGCTCTGTGCTTTGGCATTTGCATGTGTTGACTGCAAGGCCAGGCTGCGGGGCCAGCAGGTGCCTTCCAGGGGAAGCTGCAGCAGAGGGTGAGCGCTGCCTGGGTTCACATCACAGCTGTGGCTGTGAAATGCCCAAGTCCCAAACTCCACCAACAGCAGCAGCCACCATGGCTCGTAAGCATGGCCGAGCACTTCTGCCCCGCAGCACGCAGCGGATGTCATGTCTGGCGCGTCGAGATGTGGCCGAGGGCTGCCACCGGGACGTCGCTGTCGTGCAAGTCCCTGGGGAGGCAGCGAGCGCCGAGCCAAGGGCCAGAGCGCAGGAGCCTGCCGAGGAGACGAAACACAACCACCAATATTTGTTCTGAAACCTGCCCAGGATTTTTTTTTGGCCTCAGTAAGGCTGGAGGATTATTTTCCTTAAGTATTTTTAAACCTGGAGCCTGGCAAGCACCAGAGGGTTGGGATTTCCTGGTCTGAGCACACTGGTTGTAGGATGACAAGGAGCCTGCTCCCTCCGCGCCATCTGGGCAGCCCTGGTCCCCGCACGTGGGGTGAGTGAAGGTGACCAAGCTGGAAGGTGCTTTGGGAAGGAAGTCACCTGCTGGATGGCTGTGCTCACAACCCCTGGGCCTCGTGCATGCTCCTGCAGCAGGCGGTGGGGCTGAGTGCCTGCCCTTGCAGGAGGCACCTCCCTGGCTAGGCTGGGACCAGGGCAGAGCCCCAGGGACTGCCCAGCCTGGGCTGCTCTGCACCCAGGTGGCAGCTGGAAAGGGAAGGCAGAAGTTGCAGGGAGGAGGTCAGGAACATGCTCCTTGTGTCCTACACCAGTCTGGGGGATGCAGAGCCCAAGGCGAGCTCCTGGTTGTTCAGACTGGGCGTCCAAGCAGGGGCTGGTAGAGCACGTTCACATCCATTCACAGCAGTGCTGGGCTTGGGCCCCAGTGGGGCCATGGAGAGCCAGCACAGACATTGATCCGTGTGTCTGTCCCCTGCCAGCCCTGCCCCGCTGCCCCCGTGGTGCTTCCTGCCCACAGGGACGGCAGCAGTGTGGGATCAGCCAGGCACTGGGGATGGCAGAGTGCAGCTGGGAGGAGCTGTGAGGCTGAGGAGCATTTCCTAAATACCCTGCTGTTCGCCCGCAGCCTCCCAGGCTGCACAGATGTGAGTACGGGTGCAAGGAAAGCGAATGCAGTGCTCCGCGTGCTGGCAGCTTCTTCGTGGCTGTGCATATCAGAGCTGCTCTCCTGGCCTTCCCCTTGCTGGCAGGATTTGGCAGCAGCACAGCCACGTTCAGCTCCTCATTCAGCGCTGGTGAGCACACGACCTATTGTGTGCATGTGTAAATACACATCGGCGTTGCTCATTCCAAAACCCCGCTTGTTCTGTTCCCAAAGAGCCAGGATGGACAATGTCAGGAAAGCCTCTATCCCCTGGCTTTGTTCAACTCTGCTTACTTGGAGGAAAGATCCCTGGAGAGGAGCTCGCAGCCGCTGCGTGCTCCAACACATCCCGGCTGCTGGCGCGCGAGCAGCCCTGGCAAGCCCGGCCGAGGGCTCCCCAAGACCATGCACAGCGCGGTCCCCACGGGTCCCCACGAGCCCCAGTATTGGGATGGAGCAAGCGGGGCCGGTGCCTGCGATGGGCAGAGGGGAGAGGAGGTGGCAGCGCCCCGGGCACTGGCTGGATGCCCGTCCCAGGGGCCCACTGCAGAGCCGGCACCTTCTGAAGAGGGTCAGGTCCTGTCCCTGTGCAAACACAGGCCTAAGTCCAGCACCACCAAAGTGCACAGCGCTGGAGGAAGTCCTGGCGCTGGTACAGCCGATGGGACTTTGCCTTTTGCTGCAGTGAAGGCCAGGATTTTGTGCACTGCCAGCAGCGAGGGTCAGAGCAGGCTGCGGGGGACTTCTTGCCCGAGGAGCGGCTGCTGCTCTGCCGTGGGCCCTGCCTGAATCCCACTGCTTGTCTGCACCTCCCTCCTGCCTCCCCTCAGCGATGCTTTGCTCCCGCTGGCTGCGGACCCTCTGTGTTCAGCAAATCCCACTCCCCTGCCTGCACTTCATCCGAAATGCCCTCACAGAAACGCTGTCAGCCTCTGCACTGCTGAGCGGCAGGCCCGACAGCTGCTCTCTGTGAGATAGTGCTGTCCGTAGCTGTGAGCAACAAGAAAGCTGTGATGGGGGAGTCGACACATAACACACCCTGAGTGCTGCCCTGCAAGTCCACTACCAGGGATAAGGTTTGGGTAAATACTGCAAAGTACCTGTGAAAGCTAGCTCTCACTGCTGACCAGTTCGGTTCTGTTTTCTTCATGTGCTTTCTGTGTTTAGTTTACACAAACTCTTGTGGTTGGGCTGTAAAGGCAAGAGAGGTTACATAAAACAATTTAATGACTCCTATATACAAGCCAGAACTGCTTTCTCACCTGGACAAGTGCCCTATGAAATGTCTTTTGACCTACCTACACAGACACAGCTACACAACAGCCCATGGCAAGAATGCTGGCATACACGCAGGACACATGCATGAGCTGGCTCCAAAAAGATTCAGAAGAAAATCCTTGCAGTGACCACAGTTACAATCTTAGCAAAACCCAGATATTTCTTAAACAGAGAATGGGGTTAAATGTGCCCAATAAATTGTTCATTCTGAGTTATCATCCCTGCTCTAGTAACAGCTGATAAGCTAGTCTTCTGGGGGACAACAAACATTTCTGTTATTCCTTCAGCCCAATTTCAGGATAAATAAAGCCAGCCTTGTGTTTAAGCAGGAGGTCATGTGCCATCTTAGGCTAAAACACTGTACCCCTTCCCCTGCTTTTCAGACTTAAAAAAAAGTCAGAGAAAATTAGAGTAGGAGCAGCTAGAGACATGTCAAACATGCTAGCATTAACTTCCCTTCAAATGTGTGTTTAGCAGATAATTTGTTATCATCTTAGTCCAAAGTTAACCTGCTAGAAATCTGCTGTGGGAGAGTTGGCTGCATCTGCAATGTTTCAGCTGGGCACAAACAAACCAAAAAAATGCTATAAAAGCTTGTTTTTGATTAAACTCGTTGCTGCCAGGCACAAATACTTATTTGTAGGTGGAAGTTCATTGGGACACAAGCACCAAAGATCATTAATCCCCTGGTAAAACACAGAATTTGTGCCCAGGGCGTGGGCTCAGCCTGCAGCCGCTTCACGCAGCTGCCCCGTGGTTTCCACTTCCTCATCCCAAACCAGAGGGACGAGGGAGGAGGAGGAGGACCCTCAGGTTTCCAGCCATGCCCCCCGAAACCCCAGGGGCTTGTGCTAGCCTGGTAAGTGCCCCCCGTTCTGCCCAGGAGCTGCTCTGTAGCACTGAGCCCCCCGCTGGCTTTAGGCTCTCCAAAATGCAGGGAGCATCTCTACTTCCACGGGGCTGCCGGACCACAGCAGGAAGCTGTGGTGGGAGCTGTTTTTCTGTCCCAGCTCGTCTGCTATTCTTGCAAACCTGCCAACACCCACTTCACCAGCACCGTGGGCTGTGCCGTCAGGGGAGCATTTAGGCCGTCCCAGCGGTGGGACCAGCTGGCTGTGGCTCAGGAGGGCGGCAGGGTGCCGAGGGGGGAGGAATTTTCCATCACCGAGCCAGCAGCAGCTTGCCGGCCTGTCTTCAGGAGGCAGGGTGGCAGGAGGCACCCACCCTCAGCAGCCAAACGCCGCCTCTGCCGTTTGGTTTCAGAGCAAGCTTTGGAAAAAGGGCACGCTGGGCAGGTCCCCATGCATCACCAGCCGTGGGCACCGCAGCGCTGTGTGTACACGTGGCTGCGTAATACCATAACAAGATTACACTCAGACATGATGGCTGGGAAATAATCCACGGTATCATTCAGCAAATCCCGGGATCCAATTACCGTTTCACATGACACCGTGCCCGGGGAGCGGGAGGCCAGGCAGCACCCGCCCACCACCGCTCCTCCGGCCGCAGCCCGCGGCCCCTCCGCCCTCTCGCACCTCTGCATCCCAGTGTCACTCGGCATTAGCAGAGTTTGCTTTATCCCGCAGAGCACTGGCGAGCCACACTCAGGGAGCTGTGGGACGTGGCTGCACTGAGCCTCGCTGCTGAAGCTGGGAGGAACCCCACTGCTCTGCCTGCCGCACGCACCGTGCCTCTCCCAGCTGTTTGCAAACGTTTCTGCAGGGCACGTTCCTTGTCCCTGCAGCCAGCGTGTCCCTTTCTGTGAGAATAAAGCCCAGGGCTCTGGTGCCACCAGCACTCTCTCCTGCTGCCGGCTGCCCCAGCGCATCCTGCCCAAGGCTCCGCAGTTGCTCCTGCCCCTGGCAGGTGTTCAGACACCAGCGCTGCTGCCAGCCCAGGCAGGGAGCGTGGCCAGCTGCAAATTTAGGCTTCATTTTTGGAGCCTTTGAATCACTGGCCATCTGCCAGGTTTGTTATTTGTTAGGCTCTTTAAGTATTCTTTTTTTTTGTTTGTTTGTTTCCCAAGTGAATTTCAAGCTGGCAAGAGGAGCCGGCAGAGGGAACTTGGCGGGGGCCCACGGGCATGAGGCAGTGGCGTGGGCTGCCCTGCCCGGGGGGACCCTGGGCAGCAGGACGGAGGCTGCAGCACGGCCAGCTGAGCCCTCGTGCCAGGAAGCCTCGAGTTTCACCTCAGCTGCAGTGGGAATACAAGTGAAAATCCCAGCGCCCCGCAGCCAGCAGCTCCGGCCCTGCCTTCCTCTTCCTCAGGCCCAGCCCTGCGGCCCCTGCACACATTTCTCTGGGGCAAGAAGCCCGTGTGCCTGGGCAGGAGCCCCCAGCAGGGCAGGGGGCTGTAGCCACAGCCTGTGAACACCGACATGCCTGCCTGAGCCCAGGGCTGCAGCCGAGCTCTGTGCTCCAGCCAGGCCTGACCCGCACCATGCCAGACCCTGCGGACACGTCCAGGCTCTGTGTGCCCACCCCATGCTGCCCAGGCACCCTCCATGCAGCTTTGTGCTCGGACAGGTTGCAGTAGCTGAGCCCAGGGGTCCCCCAGCTCCCCAGGGCTCCCCACACACGGCCGTGCTGCCACAAGACCCGTGGGCACTGGGTCGGGGCTGTGCCTGGGCTGGCGGGCAGCCACCATGGGGCCTGCGAGCTGCACGGCAGGCAGCTGCCCCTGGTCCTCCCGGCCTGGGCCGGTCAGCAGTGATTAGGAAACAAAACAAAACAGGGGCAATTTGCAAGGGAAGACGTTGCTTTTCCACCTTGGAAACCTGAGCTGTAGCTCCATTTCCCTCTAGAGAAGAGAAACAAAGGCGTTCAGAGGGAAGGGCCGGGCTGCTGCCTCAGAGGAGAGGGGCCACGGACCCCTGGGCTTCCAGAAGCGCAGAGGGCAGGGGCCATGGGGCAGGGGCTGGGACAGGATGGGGATGGCTCAGAGGGGCCAGTAGGGAGGGAGGCAGCCTGCCAGGCTCTGTGTGTCCCCCTCCCTGTGCTTCCCAGCGCCCCGCTGCCTTCCCTGCCATTGTTCGGCAGCCCCGGGGGTGAGGCTGCCCTTCCTCCTGCCTCCTGCCCCCACGTCCGCACCCCGCTGCCCTGCAAGCAATACCCATGCCAAGCTGCTGGGATGGGTGGCACAGCACCCCAGGGACACGGGGCAGGGCACAGCAGCCCCCAGGGACACGGCTCCAAGGCCCAAATGAGCCAGAAAGAGCCAGGGGAAGCAGCGAGCAGTGTTTGCTTTAGGCAGGGCTGTCACGGCAAACCAGAGGGTTTGTTCTCCAGGCTTCGTTAAGATAACAGTCTCGGTATGAGGATGAGCTCCCTGGTGAGGAGCAATTTGGAGAACTTGAATGGGGGCTCCAAAATTGAATGCAGAGAAAAAGATTAAGATCAGTATTTGTCCTTTTTTTTTTTTTTTTTTTCCTTCCTACTGGAGCAAAAATATTCCTGTTTATTGCTCCAAACCCTGGGGAGGTGTATGGTAAACTCCCAGTGGGAATCAATGTCTCAGGAGATCAGAGGTCCCGAGAACATCCCCTTGCCAAATTTACAGTTACTGTTAGCCCTAATCAGCCTTGTTTATCTCTCTCCGTGATGGTATTTGGGAAACTAGCACAGGTCAAACACAGGACAGAGTCCTCGATGTTACCAGATATCTGTAATCTACCTTCAGGTCACACGCTGAGATGGTTCATGGTGTGGATACCTTCCCACTGCCTTTTTCTGGAGCCTGGCCTGGGGCTCTTGCTTATCTGTGCCATTACTGCTCACGGGTTAGCAGAGCCAGCCTGGCCGCAGCCCCCAGCACCCCAGCCGCCAGTCCCCACGCACCAAGCAGGAAGGCTGCGACGTCCGTGCGCTCAGACTTTCCTACTGTACGCTCTTCCTAAGAAAATAAAGCATCACTGTCCTATTAATTATGTGAGTTATGGAGCAATATTTTTCCCAGAGTCACCTACTGGTTCGCGTATTATTTTTCCAGGCAGCTTAGCCAGTAGCCTGGCAACACGGTGACCTTATGCTCTGCTCAGCTTTGAGCGTTTTATTAGCCACACTGGACTCTCTCCACCGCTCCATATTTCTGAGCCCCTCATTAGTGCAATTAATAAGCTGCTTCTGTCAATTCAATCAAATGCCAGGCTCGACAGCAGTAGAAAGCTTTGGCAGACCAAGTAGGGGAGATTCTGGGTAGCATTGGGAAATTGCAGGAAACCTTTCATCTCCCCCAAGGAACCGAACAAGAATGGAATTGTGGGATTGGGATTCTCTCAGGTCATGTTTATTTATCAGTGGCTCGTTAGTATAATAAATCAGGTCCCCTGTCACTTTGAATGAAGTCATGGGTTTGCTGGAAGGAACTTGGCAGAACACCTTGATATTATTAGTGATGGTGCAGACAAAGCCTCATGAAAGGCGATGCCCTGGCCGGGGTGCTCAGGCACCCTCACATGCTCGCGCCCGTCCCTGCACCCCGCTGGCAAAAGGCAGCCAGCCCGCAGTGCCGCGGTCATCCCAGGGCAGGGCTCGGGGGCTATGGTGAATTTGGGATACACGGCACAGCCACAAGGTGCCCACAGCACCGGTATGCCACAGGTATGCACAGAGAGGGGTGCTTCTCCTCCTGCTGCCATCTCCAGCAGATGTTTGCGGTGGGACACGTCCCCAACCCGGCCCTGCTCTCCTCCTGCAGCCCCAGCACGCCGCCAGGACGCAGCCAGGGCACTGCAGGCAGTGTGGGCGCTGGTCCTCTGCTGTCAGTCACGTGTAGCACACACATGTGAGGGCATTTTGCCTTTCACACCTCTCTGCGTCCTGCCAGACTTTGCCCCGGCTCTGACGTTGCTGTGCTCTTTGGATCCCGCACCGGCTCCGGGAGCTCCCATGGCCGCAGCGTGAGGGGGCCTCCGGGGCACGGGCAGGACCCCGCCGTGGGGAGGAGAAGGCCCCGGGCTCACTCTGATCCCGATCGCCACCAGTCTCTGATTCCTCTGAGCAGCACCCGCCAGCAGCAGGGGACCAGGAGATGGTTTTGCAGAGCCTTGGGCTTGACAGCTCCCCCTAAGCCTGGGCGAGCACGGTGCGGTGCTCTGATGGAGACGCTGGGGAGTTCATCAGTATCCTTGCCCAAATCTGGCGCTTTTCCACACAGAAGAGCAGATCCGTGGGGTGATTCCTATTCTACTGCTGGAATTAATCCTGGGTGGCACTGAGGAAGAGCTACGACTGGTCCAAATTAGAGCAGTGCCACAGGTGTATGGCCCAAAAGCATTCCTAAAATAATCCTCCCCAGGAAATCCTTTGATCTAATCTGGTAATAGAAATGTAAATCTGAATAAAAACAGATCTTTTAAAATATTAATTTACATTTAGTTTAAATATAGCTTAAAGGTTATGATATAACAGCAGTATTTTATCCTTCATCTTATGAGAGTATCTGGTCTCCATGCTGGGGTAAATATTGAACTGCTCCTGATTTGTTGCTCATAAAACCCAACTTAGGGAGACAGATTGCTCCCGATTGTACAGCCTGACCAGGGCCTTCACTGCCACTGAAATGCCACGCAGTGCACCAGGGCTGCCCGACACCACTGCGCGCTGCGGGAGCCTTCCCCAGGCTGTCCCTGTCCCTGTCCCTGTCCCCTGTGCAGCACCCCATCGGGAATGGCTCGAGAAGCGCCCTGGGCCATAATCACCCCGCTCATTAGCAATCTTGACTCCGGCTGACCCATAAACGTTCAAGGAAACAAGCACAACCGCTGGAAAGGGAGGGAGAGGAAGGGCTGTAGGTGTTGGCCACATGTCTTCAGAGCCCGAGCCGGGCTCCAGCTGAAGATGCGATTATGCTGCAGTAATTTCCCTGGAAAAAAAACAGGCCTGGAGATCTCCTCACTGTTCCTGGGAAGTGCTCCGTGACCAGCAGGGTGTGGATTCATGGCTGGGCCAGCCACTGGGGGGGCTGCAGGGCTGCGTGTTTGAAGCTTTTTGCTGTTATTTTACAGAGATGTCATGAATGACACTGAGCGACTCCAATGAGGCTCCCACCCCTGGCAGCCAGCGCTGCCCCCTCCCTCGCTGCCTTTTCCCCCGGCAGCTCCGGGACCCGCCGGGCTCCTCCGCCGGGCCTCGTGTGCCATCCAGCGGCCGGGGGCAGGGAGAGCCGCGCCCGGCGGCCCCGGGGGATGGAGTTTGGGGCCCGCCGGGACGCTGGGGGACCGGAGAGAGCCCGGCGGGGGGGGGTAGGGTCCCGGTGGCACCGGCTCGGTGCGGCGCAGCGGGTGCGGGGAGCAGCCCGGCAGCGGGGCACGGCCCCGGTTAACGTGCACACGGGGGGGCTGCCGCGGTGCTGAGCTCGGAAACGGAAAGGGCGGGGGGGAGACGTGGTTGGGGAGACTGAGGGGGCTGGTAACGGGGCCGGTAACGGGGCCGGTAACGGGGCTCACCGGGAGCCGGCGGCACCGGGCGGTCGGGAGCGGCCCCACCAGCACCGCCGGCACCGGGGCACACCGGGACCCGCGCACAGCGGCACCGAGCACCGCGGGCACCGGGACCGGGACCGGGCCCCGCACGGCCCCGCCCCCAGCCCCGCCCCCTCCCGGTTCCCGCGGCCCCGCCCCGCTCGGCGGCGCCCCGTAACCACGCCCCCTTCCTCTAGGCCACGCCCCCTCCGTTGACCACGCCCCCTCACGCCGGCCCCACCCCCCGGCGCTCTGCGCGGTGACGCAGTCGGTGGGTGGGCGGGCGCGGTGCGGGCCGGGCCGCGCCGTGCCGGGGGATGCGGGGCGCGGGGCCGGGCGCGGGGCCCCCCCGCGGGGCGCTGCCGCGGGCCCTGCCCCTGCTGCTGGCGGCGCTGTGCGCGCTGGGGGCCGCGGCCGCCGCCTCCGAGCCCTGCTCCGCGCCCTGCTCCTGCCGCCGCGGCCTGCTGGACTGCAGCCGCCACCGCCTGCCCGCCGGGCCCGGCCCGCGCAGGATCCCGCCGCTGCCCGCCGGCACCACCGCGCTGTGAGTCCGGGGGGCGGCGGGGCCGGGCTGGGCCGGGCTGGGCTGGGCGGCACCGGTCGGGGCCCTGCGGTGGCGCGGTGAGGCCGGGCTGGGCCTAACGGGCCTGCGGCCGCCTCCCGGGGCAGCGGGCGGGGCCCCGGGCACGGCTCTGCCCGCGGCGGGGGGCGGCGGGGCTCGGTGTCCCCGTTCCCCCCCCCTCCTTCCCGGGCCTGCTGCAGGCCGCAGCCCCTCCCGGCAGCGCCTCGGCCTGGGCCTCGCTTCCCACTGGGATCCCTGCGCCCCCTCCCCCCCCGGGCCGTGCCGCCGCCGCTGCTGCTTCGGAGCCTTGGGTTTGGGATTGGCAGCCCTGGGTTAGGGCCGCGGGTACCTGAGCACAGCCCCCAGGGCCCAGGCAGGGCGCCCCCGGCCGTTACTCAGCACTGCCCGAGCCGTTTGTCCCCTGGGGGGGGGAAATCCTCGTTGCTCACGGGAGTTCTCGGCCCCTCCTGGAGCCAGCGCGGTTCCTAGGCCAGAGCTGTCCCCCAGCACGGCGGGGGGACGGGGCTGCAGGCAGCATAAAGCGGGCCTGGCAGAGCAGAGTGCGTGCAGCTGGCTCCAGGGGTCCCTTTTGGCAGGACTTGAGGAGTCTGAGCTATGCCAGGGCGTGCATAAAGAAGTTTGTCACTGCACTGCCACGTTCTGGTTTTGTAGCTCTCTTCTTTCCCCATAGGATAAACAATCAGAAATGTTTAAGAGGAGATGTAGAGCTCAGCACAGAAATGCAGTTAACTTATCCCTTAAAATATTTCACGTTTAGAAAGGTAGGAGGATATCTTAGCACTTGTCAGGGCCTGGAAAGGTGAGCTGGGGGTTCATCAGGTGGCTGATGAGCAAAGCGGTATCTGTTGTGTTTGGGAGCGAGCTTTCAAGCTTCGAAGGGCTCGTGTCTTTCTGCAGGCCAACAGAGGGTGTGCTGCAAACTGCTTGGCGCAGGCTGCGCTGGGAAGAAGTGGTGTTGGCGCTGTGCTAAGTTATGCAATCTGCCATATGCTGCAAACAATAATTAAGTGTATATTCTCTGTTGTGGCTTCCAGGATTTTGGCACACGAAGCATGTGGGGGGGGAATTTTTTCTTCCCTAAGACAGCTCTAGCAGTTCTGACTCTAAATGAGCCGTAATGCATAAAAGCTGTTTAAATTAATCAAAGCTTTTTTTTTTTCCTCACATGAAAAAGTCCCTGATGGGCTTTTCCCCCTCAGTTCTCGTTTCACCGAACTTTATGGGCTGAAAGTTCTTGTTTTCCATAACTCTCGAGCTACTTGCAGCTGATGTTACCACCAGTTCAGCTCAAAATGAATGTTTAGGTGATTTTAGATGCGATACCAGCTGAGGCTCTGAAACACAAGTTCTGCACGTTTGTTCTACGTCCTCTGAAAGGTGGGCCCCGCGGTAAAGGCCCGAGTGCTTGTGGAATCACAGGGCTGCTCTGGTGTCCTGCTGGTTCAGGACATGGGAATTTGGTTCTGTGTGTGAAAGCCAAAAACATAGCCAAGTGAATGTCTGATTTTTATGTTTATAGATCGATCATTCGATGTTTTTCAGTTAGTATTTAGCCATCCATCTTATTTTGAAAAGGAAAGCATCAGTAACAGTAACTAGATGGAAATAACGCCCGAGCTGCTTTAGGTATGAGCTCTGTGCAGAACTTCTTGAAAGGGGACCTAACAAAAACGGTGGTGTAGTCCCAACGTGGTTAGTACTTGGGGCATTCTTCTTCTGGGCGCTCCAAATCAAAATCCTCATCTCTGGGTTGTTGTTAAGGCCTCTGGCAGGGTTCCTGGTTGCTGGCAGACCCATTGACCAGGGCGTTAGGGGTGGTCGTGGAAGAAAAGAAAGCATTCACGTGGCCTGCTGACTTTCCGGCTTGTATTAGCTGAGATCTTTTGGGGTACGGTTGGGCATCTCTCGGATCCTGTCCACGATGGGGTGTGTGCTGCAGTGCAGAACGGGTGCATTTCTCTGGGGATGGCATCAGTCAGCGGCCTCACGGAGAAATAACTGGCATGCTGAAAGGCTGTCTTAGAAGAACAGGTTGCTGCATTACCATAATGGCCCAATTAAACCCTGTGGGAATTAAAATGTGGTTTCTTTTTGTCATTTGTAACTGAAATTTGGCTTTTATGTCACCGTTTCTTTATTATAAACGGCAAATCTTGAGCAAATACACGCAACAGGACTTCAAAATCGTTACCTTTTTACAGCAAAAGCCAGGGATTACCTTGAACTTCAGGCTATTGCCATGCTACTTAAGCCAGTGCTGAGTGCAGTGGAGAGATTTCTCACCATTTCCCAAGGTTTTAGTAACTCCCTGCCAGAACTGCCCCCAGCCCCCGGTGGGCTGCCCGGTGCGAGGCCGTCCCATGCCCTGTGCGTGCTGCTGACCGACCCTGTGGATCCTTGCTGTGCCCAGCGAGGGCTCAACCCATTCTGGGTCCCCCTCCTCAGCAGGGGCGCTGCCAGCTCTGTCTTCACCCCGTCATCCTTCCTGGAGAGCCTCACGGCCGGCTCTTGGTGTAGCTGGAGCTGTCCCCGGGTCCAGAGTGCAGGATGTGCACCTGGTGCTGGCACCGAGCCTGCTCGCCAGCAGGAAAACTGATGGTGGCAGGTTATGTTTCAGTGTTTTTAGTAGTGGTAGTTCTGTTCCTAAAGGGTGACCGCCTCCTGTGCCAGCCCTGGCTGATGGAGTTAAAACCAGCCGCGGTTGTTGCGAGCGCGCTGTTACATCTGCAGCCGTGAGAGCCCATGGGGAGGAATTAACCAGGAGGTGAGCAGCTGTTGTTGGAAACGGCTCGCTGCAGCCCTGTGCGTGGGGGGAGAATTGGAAATGGTGTGTCCGTGGTGTCATGCCCATGGGCAGGCACAGCTCGCTGCCCTCGGCAGGCTCCCCGAATTATTGGGCAGGGGTCAGGTGCATGTGCTCTGTGCTCCCTGCGGTGAGGGTACCAGCACCGTGCCGCACGCCTACTCAGCGTTGGCCTCATCCAGCGAGCAGAGATGCTGGGGCTGTCGGCACAAGTGTCTGCGACTCATCTCTGTGCTGGGCTAGTGCCAAAGAGGCGTCAAAAAGCCTAGTTTGTTTTGCAGAACCAAGTGCCATCTCGAATAACTCCTCTTTTTTCTCTAGGGATTTAAGCCATAATCATCTGCTGTCATCCAACTGGAGCATCGATTTATCCGTTCGCACGCTGCAAGAAGTGTAAGTTGCTTTTTATGATAAGCTGAAGGTTTCCTCCGTGATTCTAATGAGCGCATTTCATTGCGTATCTAGAAGTCTGGTCTGACTTGCAGAAATATTTAATGCTGGTTAATTAAAAATGGATGCTTTGCTGGCAGCAAATTGTATGGAAAACTGGTGTTTTGTGTGCAGAATGCTTTTTCATAAAAGTTTAGCAGGCCAATATGTTAAAAAGAAATGAGCTGTTTGTTTTCGCTATGGCTGGTCTGAAGTTAAAGAGAAGTAATAGTAACCGTTAAAAATTGTAAGAACTTGTGTGCTTCACTGTTACGTTTTTGAAGTTATTAGGATTTAAGCTCTTAACCAGTTTTGTTAACGACTATTATTAACATTAAATTGTTAAATGTCTTGTGATATGAGTTTTCTGCTGTATATAGAAGGGTTTTTCTCTGAGGTGTCAGTAAATAATTTTTTTTTAAACTTTTCTTTAAGGAAAATGAATTACAATGAGCTAAGTGAAATTCCTTATTTTGGAGAAACAACTTCAAACATAACTCTGCTCTCATTGTAAGTAGCAGCTTGTCTGCCTTTTTCTTGTTTTAACTAAAGAGAGAATTTTGCTATCGAGTTGTAGGAAAGCATTTGTTTTGTCTGAAATGCTACTCCTCTAAAGTGCTGTAGGGAATATGTAAGCACTCTTTAAAGAAATACAAATCAGTTAGACAATCAAGTCACCCTAAATTACCAACAAAATGCAGTCCACCAAGACGGGCAGCTTTGAAGGGGAGGGCTTCAGTCTAGCACTGACAGTTCCCATGAGATACAGCCCTGTTACAGTCCCCAGAACTTGAATCTATTTCTATGTCAGGGCGGCAGATCAGTCTTGGATTTTCAGTGCTGCTTTAAGAATTAATGTTCTGCACTACGTGCTACATTTCCGATGTAAGAGACTCACTGGTGATGTTGGTAGACAGAATCCTGTAGCTGTAAAGCCATGCAGTGGGCAGGATGGGATGTGATGGTAACCAGCTCTGTTGCTTACGTTTTTCAGGGTACACAATACTATTCCAGAAATAAATGCTGAGCAGCTCCAAGTTTACCTTTCATTGGAAAATCTAGACCTGAGTTTTAATCTCATTTCAGAAATTAAAGCTGCTTCTTTTCCACGGATGCAACTAAAGTACCTGTAAGTATGAGCGGTCTGCCATGCCTGGGCTCCTGTTTCCTCAACATTGTTGAATTCCTCATTTACTCTAAGTTACTGTTTTAGCGCGGGCTGCCTTGTGTGGCTTTGAACTGCTAGGAGTGCTCAATGTAGCTACAAATGTGCTGGAAATTAAATACTTTTCATAGCAATCCGTATTGCTTTTTCCTCTGGTAGTATGGGAAACAATAACTGCTGTTACCAAAGTACTGGCACTTCAGCCCGCAGGGACGTGGAATGATTTAAGCTCATCTTGTGTAGATTCCTGTTGACATTGTCTTAGACATGTCTAACTGAAGCATGGCATGCAGTCAGAATCGGCTCCTACCATGGATTATTTTGGGGAAAAAAATGATACAGCTTTCTGGTATGCTAGAACTCAGATTTCTGATGTGACATCGCAAGGAACTTGAGTTCTAGTGATAAGTGGTTGCTCCAACATGCTTGTGCAATTTTGTTCATAAAATATTGCACATTCTGAAAGGCCTTTCTCCTCTTCTTTCGTAGGAATCTGAGTAACAACAGAATAACTACGCTAGAAGCAGGCTGTCTTGATAATTTATCTAGCTCTCTAATAGTGGTAAAGCTGAACAGGAACAGGATTAGTGTGATTCCGCCAAAGATCTTCAAATTGCCTCATGTGCAGTTCCTGTAAGTAGCGATCTTGAAAGGTTAAAAAGATCGTGTTTACACTATCTCAGTACGTGTTCTTGAAGTCACAAAACGTTGCTTATTAAATACATCTTAACGTTTTTCTAACATCTTTATATAAGGGAACTGAAGAGGAACAGGATCAAAATAGTGGAAAGCCTTACATTCCAAGGACTGGAGTCCCTAAAATCTTTAAAAATGCAACGCAATGGGATTAGCAGACTCATGGATGGAGCATTCTTTGGCCTGAATAACATAGAAGAATTGTGAGTATACCCAGTCCTGGAATTTCTTTGTGTAGGGTTCAGTCCTGTATTGCTACCCTCACACTGACACTGTGCTGGAATATTGATGAGTGTCACAAGATGAGAGTTTATAGATCTGCATTTTCGCATTACGTTGATATCATATCTGGTTCCTTTAGAGGTGTAAAGATACTGTGTCTCTCTGCCTTCTTTCCACTTAGTGATCAAGAATGCTTTGTCACTGTCGATAGCTTTTTTTGTGTACTTGTGAATATTTGTCAATTTTCTGATTTTAGTGTACTTAGTTGAATCACTTCTCCACTTTAGTACCAGTAGGATAGCAAATACAGGAGTAGTCAAAAGTCAGCACTTCTTGCTTTGCAAGAAAGCATTTGTGTTCTCTGTAACATGGGGTGGTTCTTCATTAGGTTATGTTTTGACATAGGGCAGGGGTATGCAATGCAATGTTAGCAAAAGGCTTTTTTTTTTTTAATTTTTTTTAAAGAGTCATCTTTTGGAACAGACTGCAATTTCACTTCTGCTGCTGGATTTTTTGTGTACTTTTGTTCACTCTTGGTTTCCATGGAACAAATATAATCATGAATTTCAAGTTCCATAAGGCTTAATGTTAGTAAATCATTTCAATATCCACTAGGTAAAACTTTGTAAATGTGTTTTCATTTATTACCTGTTTTGCAAATGCTTTTCCATCTCTTTTCCTTAGAGAACTGGAACATAATAACTTAACAGAAATAAACAAGGGCTGGCTGTATGGTCTGCGGACGTTGCAACAACTCCAAGTTAGCCAGAATGCCATTAGCAGGATCAGTCCAGATGCGTGGGAGTTCTGCCAAAGACTTTCAGAGCTGTAAGTCCTGGGCTGCTTTTCAGTGGGGATTTTGTAATGTTGCAAGTAACGTATTGGATAGTACCCAGTAAGGGTGCGTTACTGAAGGAAGTACTCAATTTCTTTGTTAGGCCCATGGTGATGTTGTGTGTTTTACTTTTTTTATAAGTGTTCTACTAGAAATTATCAAGATTCCATAGTTAATCAAGTTCGATAGTATCTTCCTAATTAATCCCCCCAACTTGTCTTGTTCAATATTTTCAGAGACTTGTCATACAACCAGCTAACTCGCCTCAAGGAATCTGCCTTCGTGGGACTTGGTTTATTGGAAAAACTAAACCTGGGTGACAATCGCATTAGTCACATTGCTGATGGTGTGTTCAGAGGTCTGACGAATCTTCAGATCTTGTAAGTACAGAAAACCTCTAGCTAGAATCTCAATTTAATTCAGCAACACTTCTGGAAGTAATGATGATGAATGTGGCACTCGGTATGCTGAGCTAACAGAATCCTGGCTTAGTGTGCTGATGAGAAGTGGTGTGATGACCTTAAGCACTCAGCTGCGTATCGTACCAGTTCTGAGCAGCTGTGGATAGGCAGCTTGCAGAACTGCCAGTCTGGACCTCTCTCTATTCCAGGTGGTTTTCTTAAGGCTGGATAACTATGAAACCACATGGTGAATCCTGCTAGTCACAGAAGGTGCTGTTTAGCCCACCCTGCATGTGAGCTGAAGTCAGGCAGGGTGTAGGAGAGGAGTAGGATTACTTGCCATCTGAGGCACAGCTCTGCTTTTGTCAGGACTGCTGTTACCAGCTGTAGCTGTTCAATATTTTCTTTTACAAAACTCAGTCCTGGCTTTTAATAACAATAAAAACACTTCCCAAGTGGATCTGAAAACTTGTAATCATCCTAAACAATGGTAGCTGAGAAAGGAGTGTAAGTTTATAGCCCCTGTGTCAGTTCATTAAATAAATGCTTAAATAAGCAAACTTATCAGACCTATGTAAGCAGTCATATTCTGTTAGCCTTAATGCAACCTTTTAATGGAATAATTAAAACTAATTTCTTAGATCTAGAGTAGAATGAAAAAGAACAAGAGCGGATTAATTAGTAGGTTTTCCTGGGCTCCTGAGGGGCAACAAACAGCTGAAAAGCTGGCCATTTGCTTCAGGGCTGGAATGTGCGGGACTGGGCAGTGGTGACAAACAAAGCTCCAAGCATTCGTGCCCAGCCAAGCATAAGGAGCCAGCTTCTCAGTGCACACAATGAGGGGCTTTTCTTTTGGGTTGCTCACTCGTTTTGCTAAGTGGTTGGAGTAGTGGAGTGTAAAAATACTACAAACTAGATACTGTGGTGCTGTCGGCTTACCTCCATTGTTGCTTGTATACGATTTGTTTCAGTGCTAAAGCTGACATAAATATTTCTCTGTAGGTTCAGCTCCTGTCACTATTCTGCAAGGTAGCCTTAATAACCTAGAACAAACTGTAAAAACTGTATATAAACCACAAGGTAATAAGAGCAAAGTAAGATGGAAGGTGTATCAAAGAATAGCACTGAAGATCTGAAGTTCTAAAACATTCATTACTTTTTAATATTTTAGCTTGCCGTTGATACCACTCATGCATTCACAATCTAAAACTCTGAAGCAGACCTGGAGAGAATTATAGAAACTACTTCCAAATCACAAGAATAAGCAACTAGGAAACAAATTAGGCATGTTACTCATCTAGTCATTTTTCTCAGTAGATTACTCCAATGTCCAGTACATTAAACTGAATACTTTTCAAAGAGGAAAAATCTTAACGTGAGCAAGCTTCAGGGCTGTATTCCAATCCTTGCAATACCTGAATTGTGGAATTACAAGCGCTCTTCTTTTTGTCCTAATCTTTAAAGTACGTGTGTTGTGGAAGTGTCTCCTCCAAGGTATTAAAAACAAGCCTTCTGTCTTTGAAAGACAAATAAAACAACGTGTTACCACTGACAACATCCCGGAGGTTGATCCCAGTCTCTCCCAGAATAGTAATCTACACCTTTTACAATCTCACTCAAGGACAAGTAGATGCTGCATTTTTCTACCACTAGCAGAAGGAAAGAAGTGTTTCCATGAGATGACACGTACACTTGTATAGGTAGTTAGCTTTCTGTATCATAACTTCTTGATCCATATAATATCTGATAAAGCGCAGCAGAGACTACTTTCCATCAGTGCACCTCTAAACACACAACTATCTGCAATTCTGTGTGTGGTTGTATTAGGACAGATGAAAGCTGGCTTTATCAGAAACTCTTTGCTCAATCCATGCCATTCCAGCTAAAAATACTATTGGATTTATTTCACCTTCTCTCTAACAAGCGTGTAATTCTCTACAAACAGTGCTGCTATATTGCTTTTTCTGCTCAGGCCGCTGTTCTGTGTGAGGGGCAGAAGAGCTGTGCAGAGGTCAAACAGAAATCCCATTAGCTGCTAACAAGATCTGTGAGCAGAATATCAACTTCATGCTGAAAATCTACTACATTGTGCTTGGCAGCCTTGCGCTATAACCTGTGTGTAATCTCTTAATATGCTAATGCCATTATAAGCCTGTTACTCGGGAAGATTAATGCTGGTGGTGTATTGGTTAATTCACTTACACGAACCAACTTCAGGAGCCTCTCCCAGCTTCTGGTAAACAGCCCCCATCACATGGCAACTGCGAGTCAGACTGGGTCTGTCCTTCAATACCACATCAAGAATTTGTACTTCAGGATTTGTTTGTGGTTCTGTCCGAGGCACTGATCTCCAGCAATCCTGTTTTCCCTTGCATCTCTGAAATGCAATAGTCACCCTCTGACAAACGTAGTTCTGTGTCAGTTGTGAGACCTTCCAGGTGATGCTGTCACATTGAATCATAGAATATCTGAGTTGGAAGGGACCCACAAGAATCATCACCTCCAGCTCCTGGCTCCACACAGGACTTCCTAAACGGTTAAAACACGTGTCTAAGAGTGTTACAAATGCTTCTTGAACTCCAGCAGGCTTGGTGCCATGACCACTTTCCTGGGGATCCTGTTCCGGTGCGTGCCCCAGAACACCATTACCAGGCACAAAGTAACAGTCAGTTCTCTTCCATAGCTAAGCACAAGCAGTGGTCACAGTGATGTTGCAAGGTTTGTAATCAGGCTCTTCTGCTCCTGCAGGGACTTGAGGAACAATGAGATCTCATGGGCCATAGAAGATGCAAATGAAGCATTTGCAGGACTCAGCAGGCTGGATAAACTGTACGTATTACAAAACATTGCAATGACAGTACTTCTCAGGCAAGCAGAACAGAGCGAAAATGCAAAATAATAATTGTGAAATCAATGATATGAGGCAGAAAGACTTTCTAATTGGCAGCTGTGGTCAGTGTATTTCCCCTTTCGTGCTGTGACCTTCAGAGGTTTGGGTTCCATGGATCTGGATCATTTTATGGGACCATATTGAAGAAATTAAACAAGAATATTTGACTGCATTTATTATTAGAATGGCACGGTCTTGTTGTATGGTGACTGTTACTTTTGTTTGCTTTAGTTTGGTAAAAGTTACAGTTTCTTGAGGGGAGGGGGTTGTCCATATATGACACAATACTGATTTAGCAGCTTTGCAGTACTTTGGCTGTGCACTCTGCATCTGGTGCTGTGTGCTTTGCAGGGAGCTATGCAATCCTGTGCAACTACAGACAATGTGTATAACAAATAGTAGGAGTGTAGAGTCTCAGGAACTGATGTGGTTGTGGCAGATTGGTATCAGGATATTATTGCTCTGCTCCCAAGTTCTGTTTATCGCTTTTCCATTCTGCTGGCTTGAATGATCTTCAGAGCCCATCTCAAACCCAGATCTCAAAGTTAAGGATAGAAAAGAAACACTATCTATAAGAAAATTAGATGAGCCTTCAGGCTCAGAAAATGGTATTCAGTCATTCATCTCTTCTAGAAAGAAGAAAACCTTAGTTAAACATCCTAGAGAAACTTCTTTTATGTCTTACTTATGAGCTCATACTGACATTCAAGCTGATTCTGGGGCTTTGGGGGGTGCTTGTCTTTCAGAATCTTGCAAGGAAACCAGATTAAATCAATTATGAAGAAAGCATTCTCCGGTCTTGAAAGACTTGAACATCTGTAAGTACTCTGCTTTGTGTAGAACTCCTAGTTGTTTATCAACTTCAGCCTTGTATTCTCTCTCAAAATTTCAAGAATTTAACTGAAGGTAGACTATGAAGTTACGCTTACATTATTGTTCTTTGCTTAACTTGCAGGGATTTAAGCAACAACGCAGTGATGTCCATCCAAGAAAATGCGTTTGCACAGGCTCAATTGAAGGAGCTGTAAGTTTGACAGTTCTTTACAGATTCTGTATAATTCTTACCGTGTTAAGAATCCTTCAGCTGTTGCAGGATTAGCTGAAGTTGACTGAAGTGCATCCCATTTTCATCCTGAAATATGTAAAACAAAGCTAATTATCAACTAAAAGGTATTGGCAGTGTGCTTGGTTTGGTTTAAGGTTTGATAAAAATCTAAACATCCATCTTCTTAGTTGCAATTTAGTAGAAAAGTGATTTTTTTTCTTGCAGTAGTGAACCATAAGTTTTTGTATCTTAGAATTTTGCCGCAAATTTGGAACACACTAGTATTTAGACAATGAACATAAATGATTCATCAAGAGTCTTTCAGGGGGGTTAACAAACCCTATGCTTATGTTGTTCCCTTTTTTTTGCCTAGGGAAGGGCCTTAAAAATCAAAACTCGACAACATTTTTTTAGTTGCTCATCAGATGCTTAAGCTGCTAGAGACTTGTGATCTTCAGACATGTAAAGTATTATTTGAAGTGACCTTCACACCCAAGACTAATCCTAGTGTAACACAGTCATCTCTATGAGATAAAGTCTCTGAATATCATATAATCTGTTTTAAAACTGTTATCCAGTTAGATAATCTTGGCCATATGGACAGTTAGTCTGCAAGGTCTGACAGTTTGAGGAGGAAGGCGATGAGACACATTCTAGGTGTTAAAGACAAGACTTTGATTGCATTTTCTTACGTATCTTAAAAGTGAGAAATCACTGCTATGTATGGGCAAACAGCAGGTTGGAATTCTGGCTTGTGTGCCTCTACTCTCACTGCAGATCTATCAGATTCATCTGAGTGGAAGATAATTTTCTGTTACAATACTGTACTTTCTCTCCAATCAATTATGTTTATATATAATATTTAAGAAACTTTGAAAGCACGCAGTGAGGAAAAAGTTGACCAGTCATTGTTTCCTGTTCTCCCTCCTCAATTTTCTTGTGGAGCAGAGAAGAAAACAATCTGCAGCAGATGCTTCTGTGAAACAAATCACTTTAATTCTTAAATATTTATTAGCTGGCATGAAAACAAATATTGAGACTTACACTCACTTCATAATGTGTCTAGTTTGAGATACAGAGCTGCTCTGCAGTATTATGGTTTTTTATTTGCTTTAAAGAGAGACCATACATACATACTTAGAAGCTGCAGATCCAAGGCTAATTTCCTTACAATTAAAAAGAAATGTAAGGTTTTAATACTGATAGTAGAAAGATTTTTTTTCATGGACTGTTTCTAGCATATATAACATGGTATAGTAAACACCCATGGGCATAAAAGAATACTGTAAATCTTGTAATTTCTGGAAATATATACATCAAAGTTGTTTTGCTTGTTGAAATCGCATGTAGGACTGTGAAATACTTAAACTGTCATCGCACTTTCATTTTGCTTTGTTTCTGCAGGCTTTTGAACACCAGCAGCTTGCTTTGTGATTGCCAGTTGAAATGGCTGCCGCAGTGGCTCACTGACAGTCACTTACAGCAGGCTGTGAACGTTAGCTGTGCTCATCCTGAATGGTTAGCAGGACAAAGCCTTCTCAGTGTGGACCCTGATGACTTTGTCTGTGGTTTGTATTTTAAATTAATTTTGATATCAAAACATAACACAAATCTGTGCAGGCACCTTTCTGAAACCTGGTTGTAACACAGCTGGAGGTGCTTGGTCTTTAATTCTGTAAGACTGCGTTGGTTTTCATTTAGATTACTGTTAAGAACTGATCATGTTTCCATTCTTCCTGACTATAAATGTCTTTCTCTTTATAAGAGCTATTTGGCACTTTCTTATTTGTTCCTGTCCCTACCAGCAAGACAAGGATATTTAATACTCTGGTATATTTTCTGATGCTCCATATCTCTAACATTTACCTGTCTCTGTGCCACCACGGTTTCAAATATATCTATTTATTGCTGTAACAAAACTGTGAGATGGAAAACTGAGAGACTCTTCGCACAGAATCACGTGTGAAGTCAGTGGCAGGCCTGGAAATAGTCTGCTGTTCTGTTTTCCAGATGAACGGTTTAACAACTGTTACTTGTGTTTGCATAATTCTTTCATTCTTTTGGTGGCAAAGGCTACAATACCATCATGTAGGCACAATCATCAACTTCCCTATACGAACGTTACCACCATTGTGCCTGACACGGAACACTGTGTACCTGTGAGAATGCCTTTGATAAAATAATAGGTATTGAAATAACTTCAGTGTGATAAGACGGTGCGAACTGCTAGCTTGCTATTCTTTATTTGTATAACTTAAAGACTCTTCAAGATATATAAACTCTCTGAAAGCAAGTCTTCAGTCTTTTATAAAATAACCTAGTTCTTCAGCCAAGCGTGGTCTTTGTTTGTAATCTAAATAGAGTGAGTTCTAGACAGTTGTAGAAATTGCAGGGTGCTGTTCAAGATCATGCTTCTATATTGACCTCAGTGCTTTTCCTGTACTTCTGCCTGTGGTTCTAATCCTTTTTCTAGCTTGAAAATATGGAAATAACATAGATGTCCTGCTTGGGGTGCACATATTGTTCCTACAGGTTTCATTTTGCTTACATTGTCTTTTCAGTGAGTTTTCCTGCAATATTAATTGCATGTTGGAGAGCAAAGTAGCTAATATTGGTGCTTTTCTTTTCAGATAACTTCCCTAAACCGCAGATCAGAGTACATCCTGAGACCACGATTGCTCTGCGAGGCATGAATGTGACTCTGACTTGCACTGCTGTGAGCAGCAGTGATTCACCCATGTCCACAGCCTGGCGTAAGGACAGCGAAGTCTTGTATGATGCAGAGGTTGAGAATTTTGCCAGGTATCAGCAGCAAAGTGGTGAGGTGGTTGAGTACACCACTGTCCTGCATCTTTTCAATGTGAACTTCACTGATGAAGGAAGGTATCAGTGCATTGTCACCAATCACTTTGGCTCCAACTATTCCAACAAAGCCAAGCTGACCGTTAATGGTAAGCAATGACAGTAACAAAGAAGAAATATGTTCAACCCGAAGTGTAACGAGTCTGTTTTTCATGTTTTCATTTTGATTTATAAAACCCATTAGAATTCCTTAATTCTCAGAGCTGGCTCAAAATAGCCTTGCAATAATGTCTCGCTTGTATTTCAATGCATCAAACATTTCTTTATAAAGCAGATAAGTGATACTGTGTGTGAAAGGCCTTCTGTTCACTTTTGAAAAGGGGCAGATATCTCCCATGCTTTGACTAGAACTGAATTGTTCATCTAGCTGAATGAAGGTAGAACTCTCTTAAACTAAAAGCTCCCTCTGCTGTCTCTTCATAACTAAGCACCTTCCCTGAGCATTTGTAAAGCTAGGGAAGATTCAACTAAAAGTAAGTTGTAGGACTGGAAATAAACTGAAAAATCAAATTATGAAGTCCCTTTTTTTGGCTATAAAAGAGGATCCCTATTTAACTTCAGAGAAGGGAGTTGAGAAGGCACTGTTTTTATCAGTCAGTGGACCACTGATCCGCATTGTGTTGGAGAGCAGAGGTGCGTGTGTTGCCTTTGCTTGTATAAAACATGCAGCTGTGGAGATGGAAGTTTGCTTTCCCTATTACCAGGGAAGAGAAAGTGTGATAAAGGGCTCATGAAGAAGGCTAAAGCTTTTCCCTGTGCTTTCCCATGAGAAATGTTATTGTTCAGATCATCTTAAATCAACAGTGTAGGTGTTACATTTAAATTTGAAGGATAGGCTCTTAGAAGTGACCACTTCTAACATTTGTGCAGCTGTTAATAATCTGCCTTAACCAAGGAGAGCTACAGGTGTTCCAGATTTGTGCGTTTTCAGATATCCTGTGCTTTTGCTGCTTTTTTCATGTTTCTGAAAATACTAAAGCTTTAGTATCCCCTTTGATCCAGAGCTGCCTTCCTTCCTGAAAACCCCCATGGATCTTACTATCCGTACTGGGGCTATGGCTCGGCTGGAGTGTGCTGCAGAGGGCCACCCTACTCCTCAGATCTCCTGGCAGAAAGATGGTGGCACAGACTTCCCTGCTGCACGAGAGAGGAGAATGCACGTCATGCCTGAGGATGATGTGTTCTTTATTGCAAATGTAAAAATAGAAGACATGGGTATCTATAGCTGCATGGCACAAAACACTGCAGGCGGTTTGTCAGCAAATGCCACGCTGACTGTGTTAGGTAAGTGATGTGCTTATCTCTGCTGGCATGGATCATTTCACTTCTGTCTTTGGAACAGTGTCTCTGAACTGCTTTGGAGGGCTTTGAGGGCATTTGAATGCTGCACTCAGGACTTCTGAACAGGCGAAGCTTTTTAGAAGCTAAGCTTCAGTGCTGACCAGTGAAGTCAGTGTGATCTTTGCAGGAGAGAATTGAGGGAGATACCTCAGCCCAGCAATGTAAATGAGAATTTTCGTTGTACTGGAACAAATTTAGTCACAGGCAGCATGAAACATGCTGAGTAATAATGGAAGGACAGTTCCTTCTAGAGTGCAGTCTTCTTTGGAGACACTGTTAACGTTATGGTCACAGGCAAATTTAGAACTGGAATACATAAAGCAGAAGAATGAGGCTAGTGTAATTTTCAGGATGTTTGCTGTACTTGCATTTGTTGCAGTGATCCATAGAATAACTGACGTCACAGGATTTCCTGAATCCTCTGTTTTGTTGCTTATGTTTATGTTCAGGCTGTAAAGTCAGATTTAAAACCTCATGGAATACAATGTGGTGACACAGGGGTGTTTGCATAGTGAAGGTTTTTTACTTTTTTTTTTTCCCCCTTCTCTATTGCTACAGAAACTCCTTCCTTCATTAGGCCTCTAGAAGACAGAACAGTAACCCGAGGTGAAACTGCTGTCCTGCAGTGCATCGCTGGCGGCAGTCCTGCCCCTCGCCTCAACTGGACTAAAGACGACGGGCCTCTGACGGTCACGGAACGGCATTTTTTTGCTGCAGCCAATCAACTCCTTATCATCGTGGATGCTGGGTTAGAGGATGCTGGAAAGTACACGTGCATTATGTCCAACACGCTGGGCACCGAGCGTGGTCATATTTACCTCAATGTCCTGGCTTCCCCAAATTGCGATTCGTCCCAGAGTGGCATTGTCCATGAGGAAGATGGCTGGGCAACAGTAGGCATTGTGATTATTGTTGTGGTTTGCTGTGTTGTGGGAACGTCCCTGGTATGGGTTATTGTGATCTACCACATGAGAAGGAAGAATGAGGATTATAGCATCACTAACACAGGTAAAGTGCCAAAGCAGCGTGCTTCAGACGTGTTTTTAATCCAAAACACTGAAGAGTGGTGATATTTCTGGTTTCGTTACAGCTGGATAAGATCAAAGCGTTGAAGATTTCCTTCTAAAATCTATTCGGGGATTTGCTCAAATTCCTTCATCCATTAGGGGAAGAGGCGAGCTTAGGCTTTTATTTTTAAGTATCAGCAGTCTGTTTTATTCCTGACACACTAGATTTGTTCTGCATTGAGGGAAAACACTAATTTGAAAATCAATATTTGAGTTAACTTAAATGTTTTCAAGACCTGGAATAATGTGTGTAAATAGCTATTCTGTCCCTATTAGTTTTGAGCTAGATATATGGATTTTTAATGACTGAGGTAGAGAGAACCATATGTGAGCTGAAGTTCTGCATTATATTGCTGTTGATGTGCATAATAGTGCTGATGCTACTTAGCTCTGAATGTCATCACTGTTAATTCTGCCTTGCAGAGGAGATGAACCTACCTGCAGACATTCCCAGTTATTTATCCTCCCAAGGAACTCTGTCGGAGCCTCAGGAAGGCTACAGTAACTCAGAGGCAGGAAGCCATCAGCAGCTTATGCCTCCAGCCGGTAGCTACGTGCACAAAGGCACAGATGGTAAGTGAAGTCCTCACATCTATCAATTGCACTCAGCAAGATGCCTCCAGTCCTCGTAGCTGGCAGCAGTGTTGCACAATGTAGGATAGTAGAGAAGGATGCCCTAGTAGAGTAGAAAGCTCCTCACTTTTCCTAGAGAAGAATTCAGGTTGATCATAAAGTTTCCATTGACTCTTTTGAGTTTGAGGCATCTTCTGTTTCTCTTCCAGTGTTTATTTTCTGTGATCAAAGCTTCTGCTTTCCATGCAGATAGTTTAAGCTTTGGTTCAGCAATGTCTGGGCTCACTTCTGCTCTGCTCTCAGGGCCTTTGCGTGTAGATGTCATGACTGCCATCCTTCAGCTTCCAGAGTTAGTACATTTTCCTCCAGAGGCTCTCTGCTTCAGGGTTTGTGATCTGTCCAGAAAGACAGGGATGCCATTAGAGAATTCCTAGGTTAAATGTCAAGGTAGGTTTTTATGCTGTTACGTTCCTTTGGAATCTTAAAAAGAAAGAGGTGGAAAAAAGCTTGCATGGAAGATGACTTGCTGTAATTTTTGTCTTTAGCATAAAATTACTGCCTCTGCTGGACGTCTGGTCAGCTGACTAAGATTACAACTGAAGGGTCTGCAGTACTTCCCTGCCCTGTTTGGACACTTTTCAGGATATTGATGTTGAGTCTATAGAGATGTTTTACCATACAAATGCTGAGGAGCCATTCAGTCTTTATACAGCCTGGCTTCCAAAAGTGATTCTTCAGTTTTTCCACATGCGTCCCGTGATCTATTCCCTTCATCTGCAGCCCAGTCAGTCTCTAGAGCCTGTACCAGGAAAGGAGTTGAGAAGCAACTTGTCTCAGTAAGCACTTTATCATCCAGTCTGAGACCAGAGCATAGCAGAGCACAGGTGTAGCCCAGGGTGCCTTGGTGAAACCTTTCAACACACAGACCTGTGCGGATAGCTTTGATTCCAGCCTGGTGCCTAAGCTGGTTGGACCTGCTGGAGCCCTTCTGCCCTTGAAACAGGAAAGCAAACATGAGATTATTCTTTCACTCCTGTGTTTTCTTTGTAATCAGCTTCTGAAAGGCTGTGCTATTGAGAATTGGGATGGTGACAAACAGAGCATTTCTCACGTGACTTCCTCGGTAAACAGTGGAGCTGAATACTCTGATATTGTGTTACCTTTATATGGAGGCCTTTCAAACTGTGCTGCTATAATGCCATCCTAATAATGAAACCATCCTAATACGGGGAAGTCGATGGAATTTAAACATCCTTATTGCTTTAAGAGTATTTTGTTTTTCCTTGCTGTTTGCCAGGTGGTACAGCGCCGCTGGTGATCTGCTCAGACTGTTACGACAACGCAAACATCTACTCCAGGACACGAGAGTACTGTCCCTATGCCTACATCTCAGAAGAGGACCCCCTGGATCAAACTCTCCCTAATCTCATGGTGCAGATGCCTAAGGAAACGTATGCAGCACGCACCCAGCATGAACCCAGTACTCTTGATAATCTTTTAGCAGACAGAGACATGTCTGTCTTCCTTACCAACCATGACAGAATAAGTGAGAAGAAAATCTCTTCCCAGCATATTAATGGTGAGCATATCCTTTTCCTTTCTTTTGTATTTCTTTTGTTTTGTATTCCCTGACACTGATAGCCCTTGTTGTGCTGCCTTTCGGTGTTTGTTCACAACTAATTTTACAAACGCCATAGTTTGTGGAGTAATTATTTAAATACTCTGTTTGTGAACCACTTGTTCTCAGAGCTAGCTCTGTTTGCATCCAATACACAAGAGATGAAGGGGGTGATGTTACTAAGGATGGTATTTCTTAATTCCTCTCTTAAAGCTTGTGAAATGTGATCCCTTGCATGTACTTCTCATGAACCCACTCCTGTTCATTTGCTAATTTTTCTTCCTCAGAACCCTTTCAGCTTCCTTTATGGGGAGTAAACAAAGATCTAGCGCTCTCTCATTCACACTTCCTGCATCAGCCGGCAGCCCGTGAGACCCCGCGACCTCTTCGAAGCGAGGGCATTATTGACAGTGACCGGGAGCAAGCTGCTTCACCCCGACCTTGCCACAGGTTACGTGAACATAACTTTGATTTTAATAGGACACGGAACATTCATGACTATAGTGAAACCACGTAAGACACTCAAATGAAGTCTTGGAAGCAAATCCATACCGACCGACTTTTTGTATTTACTACCTCAGGACTAACCCCTAGGCCAAAGATGCTTTTGTACATGTGCCTACAATTACAGGCTGAGTAAACCAAGACAGACTCCCTCGAAGGAGGTGGCACATGCCTTTTTTGCTTGGATTCACCCGTATTGGAATGTGGGACGTACGCATGGCGATCAGTGATATCCACAAGAACAGTGTTAAAACATGGATCTGGTGTTGGAGACAGCCTTTGTGTTGGTGCATGCTTTGAAAAGCTCTCAAGAATGCATAGCTATTTCACAGTGCATTGTCTGCTCAAAAACAAATGTTCAGGGCCTCCTCATGGAATTCCCCAGTAATTGTAAGCATAAAACTCTTGGCCAGCTTTTTGTTCCTCAGACTATTGGCAAGCGTTTCTTACCAGTCTAACTTTGGGGCTTGTTTTCTCCTATGATTAATGGACTCTAGTTGTAAATAAATTTGCATTTATAAATATTTTGTATACACTAAGCATATAAATGTGTTGGCTGTAATGTAAATATATTTTTTATTATGCCAAAGTATGTATTATACTGTTAGTCTTGACAGCTGCATATCAAGCCATATTTTTTTTTGTGGTATTGAAAGCTTGTTTCTGAGGGGGATAAAAAATTCTTCGTTTTGGAAAGAAGTGAATTTGCTATAGATATGTGGTGCAACGGTGATATTGATGAATTTCATTGTCACATACAACTCTGTAGGCATTAAGCTTGCCTGACCTGACTGCAAGCTGATCGATTTCATTAGATTAGCAGAATTCCAAGTTTGGCACACTTCTACGTGGTGAGTGAGTCTCTCAGTTTCTATATTAGGTTGCCTGTCTTTTCTAGGAGAGCTTAAAGCCCAATGGACCCTGCATTAACGGCGTTAGCCTACACTACAGGCAGTACTATACAACTTCTCAGAAGCTTTGTAAATAGCAAACAAAAAAAATAGTACACAACATGTTTCTTTTCATCTCCTAAAATAGCTTTAAGGTGGGAGCTTTGAGTGGTTTATTTCAGAAATTTATCTAAGCTTTTATCTTTAAAAAGCTTTTGTGTTGTGTATGTTGCAGAGCGGTATATGTGTATTTTTCATAGCTGCCAGTTAAATGAACTTTTTAAAAGAAAAATGTGATGAAGAACACTAGATAAATTGGAGAAGCATTGGGTAAATCATCTGTGAACTATACTGTGGATTTTCTGTTTCTTCTGCACAGCCAAGAGGCACGTATCCTTTAAAACACTTGTGCCCTTTTCTTTTGTCAAAGATCAGGAAAAATTCTGGCCATGTTGAGCTCTGTAATAGTTCCCTAGACCACAGGGTGGCAAAAAGGTGTAAGTATTTCACAGGTGAGCAGTGAAATAACGTGGGGGAGAACCACTACTGAAAGTCTAGTACTGGATGAGAGAAGCAGAGGAAGCAAAGAAACTTCACTTGTTACTGGAGCATGCCTGACAGAGTTGGGAGGAGGAACATTCTGAAGACTTCCTGAAATTTTCTTCTAAGAAAATATATCTTTGTGTAGAATATGTTAACGACCCAGCAGCAGTGGGTTTTCAGCAAGTGTCTCACATTCGGAGGTGGAGCGCTTCTGTGCTATGCTGTGTAGCCTTGCTTGAAGAGCAGGGGGCTTTCTTCCTGGTCATCGCTGTATCTTTCGGAGCCATAGGATATGCACTAGAGTGAAAACAGCTGCAAGGTATATTTTTATAAAGACAAAAGCCTTCTTGGACAAGCCTAAGAGAAGTATGTAGGGCTTCCTGTTGATCCATTCCTAAATAGAAGGGGGTGTGACTGCGTTATCAGATGCAGTCTTGCAGAATCACAGCTGAACCTTCTGAGGCTGTGGTTTAGCTGAGTGAAAGAGTGAGGAAGCGCTGGGAATAGTGATTATTTTCCCACAGCTCTTTGGGCATGAATAGTAGTCAGATCTATGCAAATGAGCAATTATTATTAATGGCTCTTACCATGTTTTGAAAACAGCTACAGTGACTTTGGTAGCCAGCAGCTTTAGTAGGAAGAGGATCTAATTTTCCTTGACCTTCAGATAAAGTGGAGAAACAGGTCTGTTAAATTCTTTTTGACCTCTGACATCTGAAATATTTTAAGGGCTTACACGTAACATACATGCCAAAAGAAGAATTTGATGTTTGTTCCTTTCTGGTTTTATTTGCTCCAGGCTTTTCCTTCCCAGATAGCATTTAAGACCGAGTGGTTATTTTCAATCCAAACTTGTTTCTGTTGCAGGAACTTTCAGTTTAAATTCAGATGAGAAAGGTCAGGTCATGAAACTACAGCAGCCACAAAGATGCATCCTTTTGGGCTGCTTGCTGCTTTACTCAGATATTTAGAGGCTGATGTGACAGTTGCTTCTTAGCACGTGCAGTGCCATGGTTTCCCACGAGCAAGAAAGTAGCACCTCCACTGCTGCCTTGTCTCCCATCACCATTTGGCAAATGCTTCTTACCTTTTATTTTCTTTCATCCTTCTCTTCTGTGGGGTTAAGCTTATGCAGATCTCTCAGCTGTCTCATTATAACTGTTGATGTGCATGGGGGGCATCCAAAACCTTAGGTGTACTTAAGGCACAACTTCCCAGTATGATCATACTCATGTTCATTAAGATGTGCTTAGCCCAGAACAAGGCTTTAAAATTATGCTGTCTGCACCAGAACAAACTGAAGTCCTAGCTCTTGAAAGAGTTCAGGAGCTGAAGCTGCACTGACTTCTCTGACAGTACACGGACCAGTTGCATGCAGCTATTTACAGGTGAACATGCTGCGGTGCTTAACATTGTGGAAAAACTTACTTGGCAGACTTGTAGGAAAAAAAATCAGGTGTCTTTTCTTTACCCTTTCCTCCAAGAGGCACAAAGAGCAGAGTGGCCGTTCTGTTTGCAGTAAATGGTGTCCTCAATCAATGCCAAAGTACTAACGGTACAGGAGCTGGGGTTCAGCGTGAGCAAAGATGCTCTTGTTCCCTGTTGCTACTTCCTAGTGTCTATTTATATTTTTTTCACATAAGAATGTATATTTTGTATAGCATGTGTAATATATGTTTGTCTATTGTAATATACCTTCATTCAATAAAATGCTGTATACATGGAACTGTCACTGTAACTTCTGTTAGTTTGCAGATTAAGCAATGTGTGTTTATTAATGATATTTCATTTTTATAGGGAAGAAAACTCAGTAAGTCTCATAAAGCAGTTTCAGGTAGGATTCCAGTCTTCTTAACATGAATATTACACCGATCCTTTCTTTTCATTATGGGAAGGGCACCAGGTATTTACCCTGGCTCACAAATGAGCTTCCACACACGGCAACAAAGTGGTAGCTGGCATTAGGAGCGGGGTCTTGCAGCCCTTTCTCAGCGGCTGTGCCAGGCCATGGGGCTGTTGGCTGATTCTGCCAGCGATGGGCACTGCTGCAGGCCTGGCATGGAGCAAGCGGGGAGGAAACGACTGAAGGTGAGTGGCAGTCAGGGAGGAAAATGTTGCATTTCAATAGGTTCACCAGTAATTCTGCAGCAAGATTACAGAGGTGAGATCTGAATTTGTTCCTAGGTTGTCAGTTTTCGTGAAAACTCATTGCTTGCAGTCCTGGTTCAGGTGCCTTGTATGTGTATATGCTATCTGAGGCACCTGCTGCTTGTGAGAGATGAGAACGGTGCCAGATTTTCTTGTCAGCTGCCTCCCACCTAGACACAGATTATTTTCAAAATTAGAGCCTTGGTTAAAAGTAGATTTTGTTACCAAATAGTTCTTATTTCAGTTTTCCACTAGGAAGCACAAATACTTCTGGAAATGCGGTACAACAGCAGGGCTGTTGCCTCCGAGCGAGAAGACTCAGCGATCTCTGTGCTCACAGCACTGCCGTCCTGCTATTCAGATCCTTTCAAGTGCCAAAAGTGATTTTCTTTCTGGCAACAGACCAAGAGCATGAATGAGGTAGTGACAGCACGTCCCCAGATACCTGCTGCAGGAGGAGAGGCGACTACTTCCCACCCTACCAGCTACCATCCTTCCTAAAAACCTGTGTAAGTTTTTTTTTATTATTATTATTCCTTTGAATAACCTACCCTATTTCTACCACTGGTATTTTGCTGGTCCATGTCTGATGAGCACGTTTGCTGTTCCTGCACTCGATTCTGCCTGTTCACAGCTGTCAGCACTGCAGTTTTTCCCAGGTTTAACTGAGCCGTGGCTGCCTGCTCCTCTCTTCTGGCTGACCCCAAAGGTTTGTGCCCACGAAGCGTGGATCTAGAGCTCACCCCAGCCCAACGAGCAGAAATGAGCCGCCCACCTTGGCACACCGCGGTTGTTGGAAGCTCAGCACGTGGCAACCTCCAGCTCAGGGCTTTTCTCTCCTGGCCGTGGCTGCCCAGGGGAGCGGCTTGGCAGAGAGCAGCTCCAGATGCGGCTCTGGGCGCCGCTTTCCCAGGAGAGCCGGCCAGCCCCTGCGGAGGCTCCTGCCTTGCCTTGCCTTGCCGGCAGCTGTCGGAGCACGCTGTTGGGCAGGGGTTCGGCTGCTGGCAGCCCTGCCTTGGGTCCCTGCCCGGCTCTGTGTGGCAGCTCGCGATGCGTTTGGCAGCGTTTGGGTTGCTCATGGGCCGCGTGTCGTGGCCGTAGGTCCCACACTGCGGGAACCCAACAGCAAAGGCAGGCTGCAAGCAAACATCAGGACTTTTGCTTTCATTTTACTGCCCTAGTGCCGCATTCCTGTGCTTTTTTTGCCAAAGGGCTGCCTCTTCTCTGCGTAAAGGCTCTCGACTCTTAGGTCTGTCAGCACACGCCTGCTAACCAGGGCACCCTCAGTGCCCGTGCCTGGCCTCAGGAGTAGGCACAGCGCTGCCTGCATCCTGCAGCTGCCTCAGGAGGCTTCCCTGGTAATTCCAGAACGCTTTGGGTTTTCCTAGGGGACTGGAGCTGAAGCAGTGGCAGTGTGTCCACAGCATTCCCCAGATACCAGCTTTTTGCATGCTCTGAGTATTTTCAAGCCACGGTAATTGCAGGAAGATAGCCGCTGTGATACAAGCCTGCCCCCCAAGCCTTGCTTTGTGAAGTATTGTGAAACCCCACCCCGTCCTGTGATCATTTCAACAAGGTGCTCAGGAAAAACCAGCTATCACCTTTCCGGGTAAGTTCAGCTCTCCCAGGTTTATTATGTACATCTCAACTTTGGCACAGTGTCAGAGAACCAGCAGCTATTGAAGATAAGATCATGAATAGTTAATGTTCTCAGTTACCCAAGCATATTTAAAAATTAACACTGCAGCCTGGTGCTGATGAGATTAAAAAAACTGGGTCATCAAAGAGAGGAAAAAACAGAAAACAATTGCATCTACCCTCAGGCTTCGCTAACGACTTGAGTTTTTGTGGAAGATCCTTTCCCTTCCTCGCTTTAATCCCTCGGTGGTTTGAAGCAGCGCAGGGTCCAGCTCGGAGCAGCTGAGGGTGCACCCAGCCGGGGTCCCAGCTGTGCTCCTGGCTGGGATTTGCCTTCCACCAAATGAAGTGTTTCGGGCTGGGTGTTGGGAAAAGGCTCCTCACCGAGAGGGCGGCTGGGCGTACAGCAGACTCCCCGGGGCTCAGCCTGGTGGAGTTCAGGAACTGTTTGAGCACCGCTCTCAGCTATAGGTTTGATTTTTTTTTTGTGTGGTCCTGAGTGGAGCCAGGAGCTGGATGCGATGATCCTTGAGGGTCCAACTCAGGGTGTTGCAGGATTCTGAGCCCAGCCTTTTGTGTCCTTAGGGCATGTGCTGGGTAAGAGAAGAAGCGAGTAATGGAGCGGAAGGACAGGGCTCACCCCGTGCCTCTCCTGCCTGGTTTCCCTTCCTCTGTCTGGCACCCAGCTATTTCTGCATCTGCTTGGCCGCACAGAGCGGGTCAGGACAGGAGCTGGGATGAAACACAGCACTGCGGAGAGCGGGCAGCCTCCGAGCAGGGCTGTTAATTAAGGGCCTTTTCTTCCTGCAGCTGGGAGGCAGACCCAGATCGGGATTCCTATTTGCAGGGAAATGGAGCGCTATTAAGGCCGCCGTTTATCTCATTTTCTCCCAATGAGAGGCTATCGATCCGCACCGGGAAGGGACTTACACTGATTAAACCAAGCACAGGGGGCAGAGGCGCTCTGTGCGCCCTCGGAGCCGTCGCTGCTGCGAGGTCCAGACCCCTGGCTCTGCTCCTAACCCCTCACACCAGCGGGCCACGGGGGCACGAGGCAGAGGAGGGCTGAGGGAAGGGTTGAGCTCCCTCCCTGGATCTGTGACGCACGCCCCTGACGGCACGGAGCGCGGCTCTTGGCAAAGGCAGCTGGTCTCCAAACGAGCTCCTCTCGCGCGTAACTTGTGCGTAACACAGGGTAACTGCTCTGCTCCTCGCTTTGAAGGTTCAATTTCATGTAAGGTTGAATGTCTCTTCTGAAGGCTTAGACGTGTAATTCCTCCCAGCATTAAGAAAAATCTCCCCCGTCCTCGCTCTGATGTATCACGGAGAGCGCTCTGCCTGCTGCCGGGTGGTGCGGGTGCATCCATCGAGCGGTGGGCTGTGATTTGTGAGTCGCCAAAGGGGATTTCAGGATGCGGGAATAAATGTGCTCTGCTTGATTAATAGCTAATGGCCTGCTGAGAGCAGCCCTGGCAGCACGCTTGGCTTAGGGAGGGACTGGCTGGACGGAGGCAGGAGCCGTTCTGCAGAGCAGGATGGATCCCTCTCTGAGAAATTTTAATTAACTTAAAACAAATGCCCAGGAAAGGGCCAGCCATTAGCTGCTTTTGCTTCCTGAGACTCATCCCCGCTAATTAAGCAGCGTGTCACTTCAAATGACCTTACAGATAACGCAGCGCCGAATTTGCATTTAAATTAAAAAACATATTTTTAAAATAAAGGCTTCACGAAGCCCTGCTTGTTTGTGTTGCCAGGCACAGACGTGAGCAGATCCCAAACCTGGTTTGTACCCAGTGGCTTTGGGCTTGGCAGCGGCTCCCCAGGCTCGGGCAGGCTCTGCCCTGGGAGCAGGCACTGCGTGAGGGTACGGGGCAGCCCCTGCTCCTTGGGGCTGTAACGGGGGAGCTTTTGGTGGAGCTTCTGATAGGAGCACAGCATCCTCCTCAGGGCTGCTACTCCTCAGGAAAGTGCTTCCCATGCAGGCAGTGCTCTCGAGGCTCCTGCCGTCCCTCCGGATGGAACCCCAGGTTTTCCTCCCCGTGCTCTCATCACTATGGGGAGCCGTGGCGCGGGGCTGTGACTGTGCTGCTGCTTTGGCCCATGGGTTTCTTGGCGTGGCTGCGTGCAGCTGGAGGCTGTGAGCACCACTAGAGCATCTCTGCGTGCTGCTTTGCATGGGCAGGGCACTTTTCCAAGGCCTCCGAGTTGTATTTCTGTGCTTTTTGTATTAATGTGGCTCATAAAACCCAGCCCATATTAAAAGGGGAGGGGGGTGTCTAGTTTTACTGGGGCCTCTCCGTTTCTCACCCTCATTTCTTAATTACAAGAATCGAGGCACAACAGAATCTTAATGAGATCTTGTCTGGCCTGAACCTCTCCGTGCTGTGTGGGTGCCGCCCGCTGATCTGTGCTCCCCGGGTGCAGCAGTGCCCCGTGGATCCTCTCTGAGCTCTGCCATGGCCCAGGGGCTGCTGCCAGCTGAGCAGGGTCCCCTCCCCACCACGGGCTTTGGTGCATCCCTGCCCTGTTGGTGGTCCTCCCTCTGCTGCAGGTTTTGGGGGCTGTGGTGCTGCAAATCCTCGCCATGAGCTCCTGGATCCTGGGCCGGTGAGCTGGCACAGCCTCGCAGAGCCTCCTGGATTCGTTTCATTTCCCTCTCTTTCAGTCCATCGGCCTGCCCCACTCCTCCTGCTCTCCCCTGTGGGTCCCCTCGGCCTCCCCAGCCCCAACGCCTCCTCCTGGGGCCGCCAGCTCTACCTGGCCACCCACTCCTGTCCTGGCTGCCCTTTGCTCCTCCGCCGAGGCCTGACAGCTCTGATTTCTTTCTCCTGGTTAGGGAACATGAGGTTTTTGACAGCTGCCTTTGCCATTACTCTTCCCTTAATGCTGTTGTTGTTTTGTGTTACTGTCAAATCACATCTTATTAAAGTCCTTCCCATCCTGTCAGCAGCAGATGAGGAGCGCGAATGCCCGCGTAATCTCCCGGCTCTGTCCGGGGAAATTGCTTTTTATTATTGATGGGGCAGCACTGCCTTTGGAGGATGCGACTCGGCCACGTGCATGGAGCAGCAGCCCTGCACCCTGCCGGTGCTGCGGCCACCCTGGCACAAGGTTTGTGTGCTCCTCAGGGTCAGCCTGGCCTTGGTTTTAGCCCACCCATTGCAGGTACGGGAAGCAGCACCCACAGGCGTGCACCAGCTCTGGCTCAGGCTGGAGCTGCGAGAGGACCGGGCACCAGGGAGGGAAGATCTGGTGCCCGGCTTGTGCGGGCTGGGGGCTGCTACGAGCACCGGGGGCTGTGCCGTGCTCCTGCCCCACACGATCCCCTCAGGCCCCAGCGTGGTGTCTGGGGGAAGGAAATGTAGGTCAACGCAAAAACTTGCTCTGAGCATTAAACATTCATCTGTGCTTACAGCGTGCTCCAGCTCCGGGCTGTTGAGGAGGGACAGCAGGGGCCAGGATCGAGCACGTGCCAGTGGCCGTGACGGCGCCGGGTGTCCGAGGGCAGCAGGTCCCTGGGGAGCTCCTCCTGCAGGTACGGCCCTGGGGTGTTCAGAGCAGGGCAGGGGGCACAGCGAGCAGGGTGGCATCATCCCTTGGCTTACCAACACAAGGACAGGGGGAGGAGGGGGTCAAAGGAGGGAAGTATGTGGCCCCAGGAGCTGGGCGCACAGCAGCAGTGGGGTGCTGGCCAGGAAGGGGGCACGCAGGGGCGAGGACGTTGGTTCTCTGAGCCCCGATGTCCCGCTGCAGATCCTGATCTCTCGGTGAGCTCTGGTTACGCTTTGCTCGTTGAGAACAGTCGCACCTTTGCAAAGCGACTGACACTTCCCACGGCTTGCTAAAAATTCCTTGGCACCGGAGCAGCTCCTCTGGCTTTGTTGGGCTGGAGGGAGCCGCTTCTACCAGCAGAGCAGGGCACAAAAGGCAAGCACAGCCCGGTCCCTGCAGGGCGGGCAGCAGAGGAGCAGGACAGATCCCGCTGGGAACACAGCAGCACGGGGAGCAGTGTGGGGGTACCCCAGCTCTGCGGGAAGCACCCCTTTGGGGAGCTGCTGCTCCCCAAAAAGGGCCAGGCTGCAGGATCTGGGATCTCCACCAGCATGGGAGTTACCATGGTGCTGGGAAGGTCTCTCCTTGGTGCAGGTATCCCTGACCCGTTTGTTTAACTCCCAAGTTCAGGGGGGCTGCAGGCCGGTGGCACCATGTGGGGAGCCCCAGGCATGGGGGGGATGAGCCCCGGGGCCGCTTTGCACCGGGCCAGGGCATTTTGGTGCTGGATGGGGCAGGAATCTGCATGGTCAGCACTGGGCCAGCAAAGAGCCCCGCTGCGCTTGTTGGAAGCTGCCATAGCAAGCACTACTTTTTTTTTTTTGCTGATAAATCTTGTTTTTTAAATGAGCTGCACGTCAGACTGGTAAATAATGCATCTTATAAAAGAAACCAGCGCTCGCAGCATGGCTGGAACAAGCAGCCTGTGCTGCAGGTACAGCCTGTCTGGTGGAGCAGGGAGAGCAGACGGCAGCGGTACCTGGGAGCAGATTGCTTTCTGGACTGCTTTTCAATTTGCCTTTTAAAACGTTTAGTTCCCACAACATAACTCCGTGAGCTTCTCCCATGGGCATAAATCAGGGAGAGGCTTTGATGGGAACATGAAGGTTGTGTATGTATGAGCTCGGAGCGGTAGGGAAAGCAGGAGGCTGCCGAGGTGCTATCCCTCGGAGGGAGCCGGGTCTCTGCCCCTTCTCAGGAGCATTTTCAGCCGTGTCAGAGCTGTCCTGCTACGTGCTGTGCTTTGGACCCCAGCAGGCTGCCTCCCCTTACCACCAGGACTGGAGCAGAACAGCCTGTTAATTACTAAATTACTAGTAAAGGTCCTGGGAGCTGCGGAGTACCGAGGCAGCCTGCCTGCAGTGGAGCAGATGGAGGTGAAGCTCCCTGAGGTCTCGGGTGTGGGTGGGTTTTGCACTAGGTAAGGTCCAAGCATTCTCTTGGGGACACCCAGTCCGGAGCAGGAGGTGCAGGGGAGCCCTGTCCTGCACACCGGGGACTTCCCCACTCTGCAGACCCAGCGGAGCTGGCTGTGGCCACGGGTGGGATGCTCCCCGCATCCTCGGCTGCTCAGGGCTCTGCTGGATGTGGAGGAGAGGCAGCTCTGCCCGGGCTGTGCCTGTCCTGCTGCTGCCGCCGCTGTTCAGTACAGACTCTGAGACTGATTTCCCACAAAGGTAATTTTCTGCTTCTCTGGCTCAATCCTATTCATCTTTTAGAGGGTAATTAGCATCACTTCAGTGTTCTTTTATGCCCAACTAATTGCACCTTGCTTCAGGAGTGAAAGTTAATGTTACTCCATTTAGGTTAGCGCAGCAATATATGATTAGGGATGAGGCCAGGCAGAAAAGTGCACCAGGAGTCCCGCTGCCTGCCTTGCTGCCTGGAGACTTGCCACTTGCACCAGCGGAAAGATTTCCCATTTTACATCTGAGCTGCCTCTGGGTGTCACAGCTGCGTGCTGACCAGCCCGCGGTGCCAGAGCCCCCATAACCGAGCAGTGGGGCAGCGCGGTGCCACCCTCACCCCTGGGCTGGAGGCGCTGGGGACAGCAGGAGAGAAGCGCAAGGAGAGTAGTGGCTCTGGGCTGTTTTACTATGTCCTGGGAGCAGCAGAGGGAAAGCACTGTCTTGCTCCTGCCACCAGTGAGTATGGGGAGACCCTCACTGCCCCCTTGCCCACTTTTGGGTACCTCTTCGGTCCTTTTCCATGCCTGATCCCAACTTGCTTGGCCAGGCACCTCGCTGCAGGCTTTTCCGAGCCTCCCTTCTGGAGGTTCGCTGCCGTGACCTTGTTTCACTGCCATAGGCAGAGGCATCCTCTGTGGTTTCTGCGCTGCTCTTGAGGGCTAAAATTGCAGCACGGCCACAAACCACGCCACAGCCTTTGGGGGAGCAGAGCCCCCAGGGCGCCTCGGCAGACGCTGCCCGCTGTGGGACGTGTGCCTGGCAGCCCCTGGGCTTGGAGGCATCGGCTGAGGGGCTGCTGAGCAGGCAGCAGGGACTTTGATAGCGTCAAAGACTAGAAAGTAAATACTTCTGTTATAAATCTTGTCTGCTTTAAAGTAGGTTATGTTTTCAAAGTGCTTTAGTTCTTAGGAATTTAATATTGCGATGTCAATTGGAAGACAAGTAATTGGATGGGGGGAAGGCTGGTGCTGGAACCTGAGATTAAAGGCAGGATTTGGGACGGTGTGCTGCGTGCGGGTGGCTGGTTTTGTTCGCTGCATTTCGACTCCGGAGGTTTCACAGGCAGCGTTTCCGTTTGAAGTTGGCTCTGCTGCTCCACGGTGTCCTGCAGCAGCTGGAACGGGAGAGCACTGGCAGAAGTAGCAAGAAGGATGCTTCTTCCCCAAAGCTGCCCTGCAGCAAAGTGCTCGCACAAACCTCTCCGAGCACCGCGGGGCTGGGCGTGCTGCCCAGGCTTGCAGGGATCACGGCCAGCGTTGTGCACGTGGTCTGGGTCGGTGCTGGTGGCCAGACCCCGAGCCACCTGTGGGCTCCGGACCAAACTGCGTAGGGAAGGAGCAAAGGAGGGGTCCACACCTCCCTCCTGCAGAGCCAGCGGGACAAAGTGAACATCTTTATATACGTAGGCTGATGGTGTGAACACTGAAATCACAATTTGTTGGAATAAAACTGCCTCTTAGTACAGGTGTAACCTCCCTGAGGCTACTTCAGGGACAGGATCGTGGTGTGAGCACACGGGGACGAGCACCCTGTAGTCTCCTAAGGCCCCGTGCCTGGTCTGCCTGATGGTTAAGAGCAAAATTTGCTTGGTTTAATGACAAGAGCTTGGTATTTGTAGCCCTAACCTTGCTGTAACAATGGCAGCCAGCAGGCAGGTGAGTTGGTCAGCCGTGCCTAATGTGGATCGAGAGCCGATCAGCTTTGCTGTTTAATTTGCTTATGACCTAGAGAATTAGCGGCGAGGATCTGTTATCCTGCCAGTGCACTAATGACTCCTGCAAGGGAAGAGCTCCCAGGGGAAGGAGTGGTATTTACTAACCTTTCCTTGGCTCGCTTTACATAATAGCACACTCCTCCAAATGTCCTCAACGTGACTGGCTATTCCTCTTTTTTTTTTTCCTTCTGTACAGTATTTTAAATTTCGTGAACGTTAGACAGTGAGGAAAGGTGCTGAGTTCCTCCTGTCACTCCCTTCGGAGGCTATTCTTAGCCATGCCGCTGCTTCAGGAATTCAAAGTGAGGCAGTTTGCTTTTTCAAGGTCTCCAAAGATTTCCTCTATCCGTATGTCCAGATAGAAAAACAACCTGGATGGGGAATCCAGTTTGAAATTGTACCATTGCGATAGTTTGGCCAGGACTTCGTGTTCCCAGGGTTAATGCACAGCTGGGGAGCCAAAATGGCCCTGCCTGCATAAATCTGAAGGGAAATAAAACCTGATTCTGATCTACTTCTGCTCTGTGCTTTTCAGAAGCGGTGTCCCCACCGTTACAAGTTGCAGCAGGAGATGGCACAGCCCCCCTGTCGGTCCTGCAGAACTCTCTGCCATCAGGAGCCAACGAGAGGTGGGTGCCCCCGTGCTGCCCCCGCTGCTTCTGCTCCCAGCGCTCGGCATTTCTCCCTGGGGCACCGAGCAGCGGGTGCAGGAGCGCAGCCCCTGCCCGTGCGTGGTTTGCTGGCTCTGCACCGAGCCTCTGAGTGCAGCGCTGCAGGAACCAGGCCTGCAGGCACAGCCCTCGGCTTGGGCTTGCATCGCAAGGGCTCTTTTCCCTGGTGATCAGCCAGGTGGTGTTCCCCAGCTGAGGCCAGTCCTGTGTCTCCAGGAGTGCTGTGCAAGAAGCCAGCGAGGGCGATCGCTGCCTGTGTGCTCGGAGAGGAGAAAGAGCCTGAGCAAGGCACGCAGCCTCCACCCGGAGAGGCTGCAGCCACTCACAGGCTGAGGGTAAGGGAGCGTGAAGAAAGATAAGGAGCTAAAATGAGAATAAAACGAAGGTGGTAGACGCAGCGCAGACGTCTAATCAAAGGAAATTCATTAGTTTGTCAGGCATAGGCAATGGGAGCGGAGTCAGCAGCCCGGGAGGTTGAATGCAGTCGCTAGCAGTGGAGCAGAGCAAATGGAAATTAATTCTCCTTCTCCGTGCAGACTCAGACGGGGCCCAGCCGAGGCCCTGGGGCTGAAGGACCAGGACGGGTGCCTGGGCACGCCGCAGCTGCCCGTGCCCGGGGGAGCAGGGAGGGCCCCAGCCAGGAGCAAATCGAGGTGCTGTGGTACTGGGGGTCGAAGCAGCCTGCAGCCCACTGCCCTCCGTCCCTCCACAGCAGCCCCTCCATGCAGTGAATCCCCCCGTGGGCACGTGCTGAGCCCAGGCTGCCTCCCTGCCTGCACGTCACCGGCACAGCCCTCGGCCTCGGTGGGAATCGGTGCATGAATTACCCTGACAACACAGCAGAAGCGCTGGCAGGTGCGGCTATCATCATTGTAAGCTGCCGTTTATGTGTGTTTTTATTTCTGCAGCTTCTTGCCATTAAAAGCCCGTAATTAAGATAATTAGAACAAAGATATTTGCCTCGTAATCAGCAGTACATTTCAATAAAATAGTTTAATTTATAGGCAAAAGTTGTTAACCTATTATTTAAATACTGTAACGTATATTGACAGTGTGCTAGGAAACCATTATAGATCCGACTCATTTGGGGTGTTCACGATATTCATTTCTCTTGTAATCCCTTTCAGATTGATGATCGCACACCAAACCTTCGGGAGGTGACAGCAGATTGCAAGCAGCTCCTGGCTCCCCGGTAAGCCAGAGCCACGCCGTGGTTGCTGAGCCTCTCGGTGGTGGGGAATCGCCCTCGCCGGGGCGGTGGGAAGGGTGGGCACAGGGCTTGCAGCTCCGTGGTGGTATCCGCAGCCTGAGCCTGGGTGGCCTCAAATCTCTCCAAAATGCCGTAGACAGGAATTCTGGCTCTGGGAATTGATTTCTCACTTTCCCCATGCCAGAGGCTGTTCAAAATAGCTGCTGTCAGCATCTGGGAGCTGACGTGTGGATGATGCAGTGAGGAGGGGCTGGCCGCCTCTCCTGCCCTCTTCTTTGCCCCGCCGAGGAGCCGGAGCACCGCGTGCCGTTTGTCCCCGCGTGCAGCCGCCCTGCCCGGCGTGCTCCCTCCTGCCCGATGGCCAAGCACAGCACATGGCATCACCTGCCAGGATTTTCCCTGCTCCTCCTCTCCTCTGAGCTCCAGAAACGGCTTTTTACCCTGAGCGGTGTCCTTGGGAAGGGTTTTGTGGTGGTGTCACGGCCATCCCTGCCCGCACCCAGCGCCCGCGCTGCCAGCAGCGCACGTACCTGCCCAGAAGGGCTCTCTGCAGCTGGCAGCCCTTCATTGCCCAGGTTTAAAAATAGTTCCCGGCATTATAAACAACCTTGCACAGAACACGACTCTGAGGTTGTTTTTCATCCTCTCTGTGTTACTCCTGGGAATGACTGCTCTTACCTCCGTGCTGTGCTTGCTTTGCTGCGCGGTGAAGGAGAGGGATAGGAACAATGCGGCACATCCAGCACCCAGCTTCACATAAAGGGAAGGGTCTATTTCGTTATTTCTGCTTCTGCGAAGCTCCAAGTTCATCAGAGGCTCCAAGATGAAGCAGCAACTCAGCAGCCACCAGAGAATTGCCTGGAGCCTGTTACCTACCAGGCAGCAGCTTTCAAAACTCTGCTTACAGAGGACAGGCTTTGGCGCTCTCTCAAAAGCTCTTCCCAAATCCGAGGGCTGTCTGGCAGTCCCCACATTAATGGGCACTTGCACAATAGCAATTGTTGAGTTTTTATCCTCTGCTAGAAAAGTGTGGGTTATGCAGCAGGGAAGCGCACGAGCTAGCGGTGCCCAAACCCACGGCTCTCCTGCAGGTGCCGCGAGGCTGCCTGGGGCTGGCCGTGGGTGGGCTCGGCTCCGCTCTGCTCCGCTGCCCCATCGCTGCCCCGTGGTGCCCGCAGGCTGCTTGGCTCTGCCCGGCAGCAGGTGCTGCCACCACTCGCCCTGCCCCTGCCCCGCTGCCTGCTGGCAGAGCTTTCCCCAGCGTAAGGGAAATGATGAAATCCAGAGCGGAGCAATTTTGCTGTAATAAGGTATTTTCTGTAACGCTTCCACTGCCTTCGCTTCATCGCCGCACATGAAAGCTCTCCAGCGATGGCTTTAAGCCTGGAAATAAGTTCTGTGTTTGAGGACTTGCCTGTGCACTGCGCTTGGGTGCGTTCCTGCAGGCGCTCGCACGGGTGCTGCAGCTCCGGCAACGCTGCATTCACAACCATCTTCTAAAATCCATTCCTCTTTAGGCTTTGCTTAAAGCTCTCCGCAGTAACTGGGATGTTGCAGTGTAAAGGCTTGTTATTTATTATTCTCCAGACGGTAGGAGTCTGTTAAAAGTCCAGTTGCAGATAAGATGTGGGAAGGTTGGGCTCTTTGCATCTCATCCTCCTGAGCCGGGAGTTGTGCACCCTGCGGTACCGCCGTGGGCACGGGGGGCTGGACAATTAACCAGGGGAAGGCACCGTGCCCATCTCCCAGCTCCTGTTTCACTGCTCACGCCCGCACTGCTTTCCTGCTTTATGCATCCAGTAAATCCTGTAAGATTTGCTTTCTTTTTTTTTTTCTTCTTTTCATGTCCAGGCCCTAAAAAATCACCTGCCTGGCTACTGCTTTGTAAGGGATTTTTACCTGGGTACTTCATATTTTTTCAGGGACTGCGAAGGCCTGAGGGTGACTGAGACGTTAATTGGATGCACTGAATTTTCCACTCCTATTATGAAAAGAAATCTTCCCCTGAAATAATTCATGAGTGGAGAAGATGGTGAGGAAACAGTGCTCGTACAGAGCAGCCTCTGTCTCCAGGCTCCTGTGAGCTGAAGGGGAGAGTTACAAATGAGCAACAGGCAAACAGTTTTACGGAGTTTTATTTTCCACTAGTGCTACTGTGATCTATGAGCTGTAGCAGGCAGATCTTTCCAAAGCAGCAGTAATAAATCATAAATATGTATGGTGCTTAATCATGAGGCAGCAAAATCGCAGAGGCAGGAATACTCGACCCACTTACAGTGCCCTCGGTTCACTCCCTGGAGTAGCCAGGATGGGTCTGCTGCTTATCCCAAGCATAGGGACTCGCCTGGTTTTCTGCTCCTTGTCCTGCTCACGTCCAGGTAGGACATGTCCGAGGGGTCCGTGTGGCTGGGGGGGGAATGGCTCCTGCCTGAGGGCTGCTCAGAGTCAGCTCCGTGCACCCGTGTGCTCTCACGGCCCGAGTCCCTGCAGCTCCCTTTGATGGTGCAGCAGTTACACGGAGCAGCAGGGCTACACAATGCCTCCTCCGTGTAGGAAAATCAGCCCTGAAATCTACATTGTGAGCTGAGGCTGCGTGCCTTTGTTGAAATGGTAATTGAGCAGCAGCAGCTGGGAAGTGATGAGGATGTTTCAGCTAAGAGCAGTTTTTCTGCTGGAGTATTCGACCGTCGGTTCTGGTTAGCATCTCATTAATGCACACTCAGTTCGGAAAGCCATTTAAGCTTTTACGATGTCACCAGCCTGCATATCACACCCTTTTCCTCTGCTGGTCTCTATGAATAGCGTGGGCCAGCTTGTCAGAGCGATCGGCTGAGCAGCAAGCGCCCCTTCTTTTGCCTCCTCTTACCTGAAGTCCTTCCTGGGGCTCGCAGCCGTGCCATCAGGGCAGGCTCACGCCTTCTGGCATTTCCATGCATTTTGCTGCCCAGACCCTTCAGGATGGGCTGTAGGGTGGCAGGCAGGATGCTCTGTTCCTCTCCTCTCCTCGCTCAGGCTGTCCTCCCACCGAGCAAGCCCCCTCCCTGGGCTGCTGCTGTTTCCCACTGACCGCTGCCTCCCAGCCAGGGGCTGTGCTTAGAAAAACGCCACTGCTGGTTATTTCTGGGCAAGCCGATCCTCTGAACCTGATCCAAGGCACTAGGTAGCATTTGACGCGAACCTGCAGTTAATTACATGCTCTCGCTAAGAATAATTGAGTAGCCTGAGTTCTGATCTCTGTAATTGCATCCTAATGAATCTGTGTGTAAACTCTGGCATCTTCAGTAAATACCGAATTAAGTTCAGCGTTCAGCCCTCTGGCACGCAGGGCACTGGAGCCGTGCTGTGCCCCCTCGCAGGCCCACGAGGCTGGGGCACCTCGAGCTGCAGCCGAGCAGGGCCGTGCCCCTACAAAGTGGGAGCAGAAGAAGCGTGCACGAGGTGCCCGCAGCAGCACGCAGACGGCTCGGGCTCCTTGCTGCGGTCTCTTCCCCGTGCTGAGCGTTGTGCTGGGAGCAGGGCTCGGTGCCAGGCCTCGCAGGGCAGCAGGTTGGGGCTCGGCCAGGCAGCCAGCGGGGCTCAGGCTCTGCCGCCTGCCCCAGCTGCTAAAAGTTACCGTCTGCTAGCAAAACGTCCCTGCTGCTCCGTCAGCGCGCCGGCAAACCAGAAGCTAACCCAGAGCACGGGAATGCGTGAGCCTCGTGGCTTCAGTGAGAGTTACAAGCAAGCAGAGCTGTTCGTTCGTAATTGTGATTGAACAGGAGCAGAACCCCTCCCTGGGCTCTTTGAAGGAAAGAGGAGCCTCGGCAGAAGTTGCTGATCGATGCTGGGATCCCGTAATGGCTCTTCACAGAGCACAACTTACTGTCATTGTTTTTCCTGTTTGCTACCAGAATACCACCTACAGCTCCCCTACGAAGCTGTGCATGTTAGTTAACCTCATTAAATCCTAAAGGATTAGTCAGCTGTTCATCAGCCCCGGAATTGTTAGGAAACATCTAAAGCTCAAAGTTATGTGGCTTGGAAAGTGATTTTCTAATGCACAGACTTCAAAGGAATGTTGAAATCCTGCAGCGTAAGGGAGACAGACTAACGTTAATCCACCGGAGTGCTGCTTAATGGCCTGTTTAATTTTTGTCTTGATAGGTCTTTAATAAGCAGCTGAGCACGAAGGCTGCAGTGCGATAAGGAGAGGTTTGGCTTCACCTCCAGGTGCTGCATCCCCTCGTCCTGCTCTGACCGTCACACACCGCTGTCCGGGGCCTCCTCGGAGGACGGGAGCACGAGCGACTCACCCCGGGAGCCCCAGCGAGGCCCTGCAAATTAATTAAGCTTTGCAGCCCCCCTGTGAGATGCTAAGGTAATTGCGATGCTCAAGCCCTGGGAGGCCACACACCACCAGGCCCTTCTCGTTCCCTTCTTTCTTTATGAGGCTGGTTTTGGAGGACAGACACCGAGAAATGGAGAACCTGTGCACGCAACCACGCAGTCCTTTACAGGGAGGTGAAGCTGAGCTGTGGAAGCTGAGAACAGATATCTGCAAAATATCCATCAAAAAGGAGAAAAAGGCCCTGCTTTCTGAGAGGGAAATTAATTTTGACATCTTAATTATAAGCTGGAGGAAAGGTTGGTGCTGGAATAGTGAGCTTTGAAGATTATTATATTGTCATTATTCATTAATGACTACTAAAGTAACTGGCTCTAAATGGTAGTGGTAAAGTGTAATGGCAGATCTATGAAGCTGCTCTTATATCCCCTTTGTTCCAAAGGAGTCCTTTACTATTAGGCTGATAACAAAAACCAGCAGCACTGATAAGGCTTTGGCCCACAGTGACATGTATCGCTGTACAAACACCACCAGGGAAAAAAAAAATCTAGAAAATTGTTCTTGTTGTGTTTCAAGCAATAATTCTAACACTGAATTAAAATAAAAGAGGACTTTGAGAACTGCAGATGTCATAACGGAGAGGAAGGATTGAAGGAAAAAAATCTTAGGGCAAGGTGTCCCCCCAGTGCTCCTTGAGGAACGGTGGGATTTGTGAATGGCCTGAAAGCAGGACGGCCTCCGAAGCCTGCAAAACGGAGGGGATGAAAATCTCTCTGCGGATCTCTGCTGAGCCCTAGGTACATTTTTTGCCAAATTCTTCATCTACAATAGCTGTATCTGGATGACCCCTCCCTCAAGGTGAAGTCTATTCTGTCAGAACATTATTTGATCTCTTCTGCTAAAATGTAAATTAACTTAAACTCGGTGTAAGGAGCTTATTTCAGTATAAGCTGTAATTACTGCTGGGGCTATAAAAAAATCTTTCTTTAAAACTTTTATCAAAGTTATTCTGTGTTGTTATTGCTTTCTGTGATGTGTCTGGATTTTCCAAACAGCAAATAATTCTGCACTTATCTTAGTTCCTTTGATAATATTTTTTATGACAGATCTTCTGCGACTCTAACTACATTATTAACATTAAAGAAAGAAGAATGGGGACAGTCTTTTCTAAATATGCCTGTAAAAAATCTTGTGTGGCATTGCTGCTGCTTAAACACTAGTCGTGGAAAAACAAGAAATGCTCTTGCAGTGGGATCGCTGTGACAGGAGGGGCCTGGATGGCTGCTCCCCCCCGATTTCTGCTTCACAGCCAGCCTCGGTGCTGTGATGGCAATAGGTTGTGTCTGAGAGACGGGAACAGGCTGCAGGACAGCCTTTAAAGTACTTGTGGGACTACTGGGGCCCGGTGCGTGGAAGGCAGTGGTTTGGAGGAGTGGGAATCTGTTCCCAAGAAACCGGCTTCTCCCTCCGCGTTGGGTAGGGAAATTCCCGTACAGAACAGGGAGGTTGCAGCGCTGCTCTGCCACCAGGACCGGCTCCTCCTCGTGTCCCCAGCTGCTCGTGCAGCTGATACCCAGTTATGAAAGTGTCTGGTGGAAAGGAGTCAGGAGGGAGCTGGGGATTACATTTATCAGGCAGAGACTGGGGTAGGCTTTTGGGCCGTGTCAGCTATCCCAAATCCCTGCGAATGGGGCTACGAAACTTGACAAGGCAGCTTCAGATATTTCAGATCCCATTAAAGATGTAAAACCACTGACAGAGCTGAAACGCTTACAGATGCTAACCCGGCTTCTCGTGAAGTCATCTGACACCAGGGAGAAGGTTCAAGCAGAGGATTTTAGCAAGCGATCGTCAGAGACACGCAGAAGCGGAGTGTAACGGCTGAATTGATAAACACGGTAAGACTCGACAAAGCCAATAGCTTCTGAAGTTTGATTTGTTTTAGGTAAGCTCTGAGGAGGCGATGTTTGCAACAGCAGGTTCTGTTCCTGTGAATGATTACGGGGTCACGGATGGAAAGCTCTCCCTCTGGTACACAAGTGGACAAACAAGCGAGCCCAGTCTGAAAGAGCAAGAGACCAACCGGGTTTCCTAACGCCTGAATTTTGTCTCGTTTGAGTCAAAAAGTACTTCCTGATCTTGCAGCAGTCCCGATTGTTCTGCAAAGCACTAAGCTCCAGACCCAGACCCAAACACTCCATTACTACTTCCAGGCTCTAAATCCAGCACACAGACTTCAAACCCGTGCTTGGCTGTGATTCCCCGTGGCTGCGTGGCTCTCGGTTCGCTGCTCAGGCCTTTATCCCCGCTTTGCATTCGTCGGCATCCCCAGCGCTTGATCACACTGCTCCAAAGACACGTAGCGTGTGTCCCAGAGCGAGCAGCAGAGGGGTTTAGACTGTGGCTTTATTCACATTGACAAGTCCTCTTAGTTCATTTCTTTGACTCTGCTATACAGAAAGCTACAGTGGCAGCCAGCCGCGCTTAGAGCAGGCACATGTGGAGCGATCTCTGCAGTTCCTTCTCTGTTTGGTACCTCCTGACTTCAGCACGAGCTGCACAGGGAACAGCAAAGCAGATGAGCGGTGCTTGAGAGCCCATCGCTGCATGCTCTGTGTGTGTCTCCATTACAAGTGCTGATGGGGGCTGTTTCCCCTCTTGCAGCAGTGCCTTGTTTGTTGTTCTCTCCCCCCATTTTTTATTATTTTTTTTTCCAGATGGAGGACAGCTAAACACCCTGCCACTGCACAACGCCCCTGAGCGCAGGAGCAGACTCGTCAGTTGTCCACGCTTTTCACCTGCTGGTAGAAATGCCCATATTGAGCAAGCACAACAACTATTGGTTTTTTAAACATGTTCCCCATAGCAATGATCTGTCTATACACCAGCCTCCTTTCATAGAGGCTTCTTTCATTTTATAAGCATTAGTTTAAAGGAACTCATGTTCTTTCAGGAATGAAATATTGTTGGATATGCAGCTGGGAAATTGAGGCATGCTGAAGGTATGACTGGAATTAATTTACTGTAACATCTTAGCCAAAGCACAGTAAATTCCCAGACCACTGCTCCTGTTGTTTGAAAACTTAACGTGATTGTTTATGAGAGTCATTCAGTGCCTATTGTATGTAATGATCACTAATTAATATCTGCAATGCCCAAGGGTGTTTTTTATTTTCGGAAGGGGGCAGAGATAGGAGAGAAAGACAAAGTGATGTATGAATGCTGCTGTTGCTGGTATTGCCTCTTGCGTGCGTGCTGTGGCGGTGGCATGTACTAAACAGAAGGACAGAGTGGCCTCGTATCGCTGAGGTGTTGCTTGGTGCTGATCTGCAGCCTGCTGGGGCTGATCCGTTTTCTCAGGTGAGCAGTCCAGACACTGGGGCTTAGTCAGCCCTGGTTGACACAGATCTCTATTAAGACGTGGGTTTATTCTCTGGGCTTTTTTGAATTGTGACAAAATTCACATAAGATTTGCTTGCAAAGCAGCTTTTGCTGCCATCCTGAGTTAATTTATGATGCGTTTAAAACTTTACCATTAGATAACTGTATCCTAGGGTAACGCAATTTTCAAATAGACAATCCTGGATTTGTCTGCCCACAGCATAGCAAGCGGCTGGCTTTGAACCACTCTACCCAACTGTGATTTGTTTAGGCTTCCTCAGAGACACTTTGCTTACTGAATAATTTGTTACCCCATGCTTGAGATGAGTGCTTCTCTTCGAGAGGAGCACTGTGCCTGCTGCTCCTCCCTGGCAAGTATTTTTGTTTGCCGTCAGTGCAGGGCAGTCACCCATCATCGCTGGTTCTCCCAAAAGTCCTGAGAGCAGTGCACTCAGATGGTATTGGTGTGAGACGGAGCTGCTGCACGCCCAGTCCCGTGGAGGTCAGGCAGTATCACGCTTCTGCACAGGCAAATAGCTCTGCATGGGTGCAACTTGCTTTCATTTTGTCCTTGCTGAAGGTGGAACTGTGCCTATTTTGTGTGTGTTGCATGAGCATTGGGCTGGGTGTCTTCCCTTTGAACACAGGACTGACAAATTGCATGCAGCACAGGCAGTTGCATTGCAAGCGCTGGGCACTGGGAGAACGACTCTGTAGGAGTCCAAATGTAGCACCACAATTCCCTTTCTGTCCTCTCCAAGAAAGCCTCTTCACACTCTAATTAAACAGCAGTTTGACATGTTTTTGCAGTTTTGATTGCCTTTGAACTTTGGCAGTGTGATAAACAAACGTCGCTTCCCTGCCTACCAGGAAGATGCTGCTCCTTGAAGCAGTTTCTTGCCTTGGTTCTGGTACAGCAGAGCTCAGCACCGTGTTTGCACGGCATCGTTTGTGAGCTGCTGCCAACAGCAGAGAAGGATGGCAGCTGCCATGGCCTGATGTGATGAACTGGAGATGCCGGAGCGCTGTTTTTGCTTTGATGGCCCCTTTTAGCTAGTCGAGATTTCAAACGCTGGTGCTCGGTAAACACTTAATTCTTCACAGCGCAGGAGGCTGGGGCTGGCGGCGCACAGCCCGCTCCTTCTGATCGCTGCGAGGCGGTGCAGACGCCTCACACGTCTGTGAGCTGCAGTAATTAGAGGGGAGAAGGAAGGCAGGACGAACGTACTCATCGTCACGTGGCATAAATGAGAATTAAAATTGTCAGTCAGTTCTCTGAGCAGTTTGCTCACGTTTTGGAGTTTGTTAGCGACAGAAGTAGAGCTGAATTCAGACAGGCAAATGCCACGGGCACAAAGCATAAAATGAAGGGCTATAATGGAAGTGGGTTTGAGAGCACTGATCTCAGCACAGATTCTTGGAGCTGTCTTTGCTGATACCTATGAAGTAAATAAAGCCTTCGGTTTAAGCGATTCAGACTCATTAAATTACTTTGGATTTCACTGAGGTATTAGTTTCTGTCTAAGAACTCATTCCCGGAATATTTTCCATGGCAGATTCCTTCAAAGGTGGCAGACTGACACAAATCCTCAAAATGCCAGTCTGATCGCTCTGCTCTGTACCTCCCCATCATGTTTTCAGTTTCGAAAATGCCTGGTTGGGTTTAATTTCCTGGTAGGGACATACGGAGGTAAGGCCAGCCAGTTTTGTGTGTGTGTGTGTGTGTGTGGCTAATGAGGTTTGTTAACATATTGCAACGTGTCTCAGTTAGCAATTAAATTGGAAGTCAGAAGTGAGAATATAAAAACCTTCATGTGCTTAATGGTAAATTAACCGTTTGCTTTCACATGTGCAGGATATATTGACGCACACAGATATATGCATATGTGACTACGTCAGAGTAGGACTCGGGGAGGGTTAATGTTTGAGGGCTTGGCACTGCTCCATTCCCAGGAGTTTGTGGAGGGGAAGCGGGACAGTGGGGAGGAAGCAGCGAGGCAGAAACCCCCCGGCACAGCTCAGGGGCAGCATCCCTGAACCTTGAGGGAGCGTAGAGCAGGACGAACGATGAAGTGTGACGTGAAATAAAAACGCTGTGAGGGGAAAAGCGCTGTGAGGGTCATTGTAGGTGGCCATACAACGCCTTTCCACGTGAGAAAAGGATAAAGGATAAAAATTGTGGCAGAGGCTGAGGCTGGGCGTGCACAGGCCCTGCTGAGGGGACCCCTCCCCTCAGGCCCCTCAGGGCTGCGGGCGGGGGGCGGGGCCTCGCCGTGACGCGGCTACACCGAGCGGCGGGGGCGGGGCGGGGCTTCGCGATGTGGGCGGGGCTTGTCAAAGGGGCGTGGTCTCTCGAGGGGTGGGGCCGGGGGTGGGGCGGGGCCGCGCGGCAGTCGGGCGGCAGCCGCGGCCGGAGCGGGCGGCGGCGGCGGCGGAGGGGGCCGGGGTGCGGCATGTCCAAAACGCTGCGGAAGAAGCGGCACTGGCTGAGCAAGGTGCAGGAGTGCGTCGTGTCCTGGGGCGGCGCGGCGGGCCCCGACCCCGAGCTGCTGCGCGGCGGCGCCGAACGCGGCGAGTTCCCCTACCTGGCGGGGCGCCTACCGCCGGGCTCCGAGGGCGGGCCGGGCCCCGCGTTGCTCTCCGGTAAAGCGCCGGCTCCGGGCGACGTGCTGCTGGAGGTGAACGGCACCCCCGTCAGCGGCCTGACGCACCGCGACGCGCTGGCCGTCATCCGGCACTTCAGGGAGCCCGTGCGCCTCAAGACCGTGCGCCCAGGTGAGCCAGGCCGCGGGCAGGCCCGGGGAGCGCTCTCGGGGCTGGGGCCGGGGCCGCGGCCCCGCGTCCCCTGCCCCGGTGGGGGGGGGGCGGCTCCCTCCGGAGCTGGGGCTGGGCCCTGGGAGGGCTGGGGGGGCCCTGGGGTGAGCGCGGAGGTTGGGTGGGGCCTTGGGGTTGGGGGGCTGGGGGGAGCTGGGGGGGGTCCCGAGGCCCCTCAGAGACCCCCGGAGACCCCCGGAGCTCCCCGCGACCCCCCGGTGCCGGCACCCGGCGGGGTGCGGCCGGGGCCGGGGTCGCGGGGGCGGCGCCTCCCGGAGCGCGGTGGGACCGGGATCGGGCCCCGGCTGCGGCCCCCGAGCGCCCTCGGCCCCGGCTGGGAGTGGGGGGCCAAAGAGGAGCCCCTGGGCTGTGCCCCCCCCCCGTCGGGGTTACCGCTGTGGGTAACGAGGGCCAGCAGGTGTCGGGCGTCGGGTTGGTGCCCGGCACTACCCGGTGCCCGCGACCACACGCGTTAATGATTCACAGCGAACGAGCTCCGGAGCTGCAGCTTTGCTGGTCGAGATCCAGGTGTGAGCTCGGTGCGTTGTGCAGAAGCTCTCTTAAAGCTGTGCCTCTCTGAATCCCAGCCGGTAACAGCCTGTCAGGGACTGAAATCCAAAACGCTTCTTTTGCAGCCTCTCTGTTTACCACCTGCTCTGTGCTTCTTTCATAACACCCAGGTTGCTCTTTGACTCTAGGTAACGCGTATCTTAAATCAGAGTTTCCTCCTTTGACCACTAATTAAAAGTTATCTTTGCTACGGAGATTGAGCACTTACTTAGTCCTGATGCGTATCACCTGTTAAAAAAAATGAAACCTGCAACACCTTAAAGCAGCTACAGAAGGCTGCTGGCTCCGAGATGCCTGCCTTCAAAAACTGGAAACCCCATCTGGATGAGGAAACTAGAAGAGAACAAACTGCTGCAAGTTAAATTCAAATAAAAGAATAAATAAATTAAGGAACACATTGTTAAAGACAAGACAATAACAAATCTCTTTTTTAAAAAGTTAATGGCAGATGAAACCATATTAAGAATATCAAACGAAATTCTTGTGTGGTTACTCTGGAGGGAAATGGGATATTCCCATACCGGGACTTTCCGTAACAGAGAGATGTCTTAAACTTTCAAGTTAAAACTGGCAGAAAAGATTTGAAATAAATGCATGCAGTGAGAGCAGACACTTGCCAGAGCCAGATGATGCTCTGTAGGTGTTGTAAAGGTGAGGCACTAAAAAGCAGTAAAAAGCAGGTTCTGTTCCTTAAATTGATTGTGGAGATGTGCCCACTGGACAGTGGTGCTGGGCTCCTGCTGTGCAGTGCCATGAGTTGGTGCAGCTGGGTTTTGGGGCAGGCTTTCGGTGGGGTGTCAGCAGACCCTGAGTGGGGCGTGCACGGAGCTGTTGTGTGCCGGTGTTGCTGCTGGAAGGTAAGAGCAGAATTCTCCTGGGGATTATGAACTGGTTAAAAGGTAGGAGCCGTTTTGTCAGCAGAAGGAAAGTGCTGCTGGTGTCTTGCACAGCCTGGTGTCACTAAGTGTAGTCATTCTGGGCTTGTGAACTAAACACTGGGTGAGTTGTGTAAAGAGAAGTAGCATTTCTATGCTGATTTTATGTAACTTTTGGAACAAATCAAATTCATGCTTCAGATCCAGCAGTTTTTCCATACTAGAGCATATTGCAAGCTTATTTACCACATCAGATGATTTTGGCAGGCGTTTTCGGTGTTAGACTCAGTGTCCTTAAATGCGGTATTTTAAAGCAGACTATTTTTCTTGTTGCTTTTTATTTTTTCAATTGCCACAGTAGCACTCGGTGGAAGTATTCCAATTAGGGTACGTGTGACGAGAGCTGTTGGCACGGCGTTCTCAGAGAAGCACCACGACTCTGGCCGTGGCTCCCCTTCTTCCCGCAGCGACCCGGGGTGCTCCAGGCTGGCTGACCCCAATGACGGCGGCTGAGGGGTAGGGGCTGCGGAGGTGGTGGCGTGTGATGCTTGTGGGATGGCTGGATGCTCAGAGGCCCAAGCTGCCCCACTTCTTAAGGTCCTGTGTTGCTCTCCAGCCCCAAATGTTGTCATTTGAATATGCTGCCAGACTGGGAGAGCCTCTGGCAGGCAACGCACTGCTTCTGGGCGACTTCTGCATCGGGACCATGCTGTGTTCCCCTGCCTCCCGCCTGGCAGGGAGGAATTGGTCTCCTCATACTTGGTCTTGGAGAGTGTGAGGCCTTGGTGCTTGGCGTCTGCATCCACATCTTAGAAGTGCAGCCTCAGTGTTTGAGAGCTGGCTCCGTCTTCTCGGTGAAATCTGGTGCGGGTGTCCCAGTGGCCTCTGGCAGCACGTCAGGAGGCTGGACGTGTGCTTTATTTTGGGCATCCTTCGTTGAAGGCAGCAACAGCTTTAGTTGACAGCGGTAAAATCCGTCTGTGATACTTCTAGCAATCTCATAGAAAATTTAAAATGGAAATTTCAAGATGCTGTTTAGTCTTGTTTGATAAGACACTTGAAAGATAGGAATGCTAAATTGAACGCCATCTGTTAACTGCACATCACAAACGAAGGACCATTTTGCTGATGAAGTTCCTCCTTCCTTCTCACTCCGTTCTTCCTTGCGAAGCAGAACAAGAGCGGTGTGCGGCTGAGCAGGGCTCGGTGCTGGGGTCACAGCCACCTCCGGGACGGGGCCACAGGCGCTGGGATCCCCTCAGCAGCAGGGGCCGTGCGGTGAGACCTGCAGGAAGGCTGCTCTTGGGTTTTCTGCCAGTGTTCCTGGACCAGTGCTGGGATCAGAGTTGTCCAAATGAAAGTTAGGCATTGCTTCGTTCTGCTTGGTGCTTGAGATTATAACCCTGCTGTTATTTTTGTGTCGTTCGTCATCTCGATCAGCTGAGGAGAGCCGGCTGTACGGAGCAGTAGGGCTCCTCGTCCTGTGTGCGTGCTAACATGAGCAGCCTCATCGTAATGAGCGCATCTGTATTTTAGCCACACTTGTTAAATGCTGGTTTCAAGCTAATCACCTGCTTATGTGCATCCCAACGATGGCTGCCAGGTGGCTCAAGGACCTTCCCTGCCCAATGTCACTTGGATTAGTACTTGCATTAGCCTTGTAAGTAGCTAGCGCTGTTTCTGATTCTTTTATTCCCATTAAGGAAAAACTGAAGCATTTTGCTTGCAGTCAGTCCATCATCCTTCTGCCTGCTCAGCTCATCCTGTAACCGTACCGGCTGGCTGCATGTGACAGTCACACTCAGCCTGAAAAATATTTGTACGTGAAGCTGAGCTTACTCGCTAAAATGCTTAACACTCTCACTCTGAATGCGTATTTTCTTTAGAGCAGTGTGCTGCAGCATCAAAAGTAGGTTGCAGACTTACCGTGGTAAAGCAGCAAGCATTGCTGATGATCTGCAAGTTCCTCCTTCTGGAGCCTGGGTTGCCAGATACTATGTAGGAAGGAATGTGCTTTCCTTCCAAACGAAGGAGCTTCGATGCATAAAGCTACTCTGTGGCAATTATTATGGTTTCATATAACTAGCATCTGGGAAGAAGCAGGCAGAGTCACGCTGCTCTTCCACTTCCAAACCGTGGAGTTTTGTCCCTGGCTTATTGTTGAATGTATATCAGCTCTGTTGTGACTAACCCAGTCTGTAATCAAGAAATGCAGTGAGCTTCCAAACGATTAAAAGTTCCCTTCAGACTATCTTCTGATTTTTTTTTTTTTTAAGTCTCAGTGCTCCTGAAACCACTAAACCTTGATTTCCTCTGTGTTTATTTCATAGCCGACTGTCACAACTTCAGCTGTGATTAAAACTTGTTCTGCAGCGGGGGCATTATCAGTGACCTCCGCTGGGGATTCTCAGGCATGCAGTAAGTTCAGTTCAGGTTAGGATATATATATATACTCATATATAAAATATATATATATATTTTTTTTTTTTACCAGATGGGGCATTCAGACAACCTCCCCGTTCACATGCACGGGATCTTTTTCAGTCCTTTGCCCCCGGTGCAGCACAGGGGCGCGTTGCTGCTGCGTGCACTCGGCCAGCCGCAGCCTCTCGATGTCCGCTGCAGCTTCAGGTCTGTCGCTTCCCCCTGGCTTGCGATGCACTCGTACAGAAAGTGAGGTGACCGACAGGTGGGTGCAGGACTCTGAAGTTCTCAGTACCGAGCTGTTTTGGCTTTTGGGCCAGTATCTTTCACTAAATCACTTAACATTCTCAAGATGTAGGAATCTCAAGGATATCAAGGCCTTAGCTTACCGAAATGCTCTCTGGATCAAAGTCTACTACAGATTTACCAGAAAACAGTAGGATGCATTTTCTCATGTGACTGTGAAATTGTGTAGTAATTAACCTGTGAAGTGCCCGTTACCAGAAGGAGCCATGGGAGCGATCAGAGGCCGGTTGTGTGCAGGGTCCTTCCCCTGAAGCCGGAGGCGTGAGATGACTGCGGTAGCTCAGAC